TGACAAATGATGTGCCTTTCTTAGACGATCTTATAAACGCTCTTGCTCCAATGAATAAGGATTTCTCTATTTGGGGTTTCTTACTAGGCTTGTTCTTAGGTGGTTTTGTGGCAAAGGTCATCTTTCGCAACTTCCAATCTATAGGTGGGTTATGCTTTTCCAACTAAGAAAGACCAAGAATAACAGGATTTGATGGGATTCTAATAATATTGAAAATAATATGACTACTACGGTCCTTGAACATCACTTCTATAGGTTCTGATTTATGGGTGATACTACCAGACAATAAAGATCGTCCATCTATGACCTCAACGTGAACAGGTTTGGATTTTTGTACTAAAGGGATCTTATGATGTTTTGCAAATTCTTCATCTAAGAAACAAGCAGATGCTCTTGAATCTAATAATGCTAAGGTTCTTAGTTTTTGAGGGCCAATAAGCAAAGGGATTGTAAAGCAAAGGGCAGGTTGAGCGGAAAGAAAGGAACCTGGTTGTTGTTGCGATATTTCACTGTCCAGCCGCACAGTTCCTATTGTGGCTGGGCATCCTCGTTTTTCTCAACAAACGCACCCCTAGTCTTGACAATACATCGATCTTGCTTCTTGGGGCAGTTTCTAACTTTGTGGCCTTCTTCACCGCAATATAAGCATAGACCTTCCTCCATACGCCGCTTTTTTTTCTTCTAGAGTAAGGGATTTGACACGTACCACATGAATTTGCATGTCTTCTACCTCTGAATGTGAATTTACGTTACTTGTCGACATAGTTGGGGCGTGGCGAATCATATGTTGTCTTAAACGTTGGTCTTGGCGGCATTGGAATAGGCGGTTATCGCACTTCAGAGCTTGTCCAATGGCTTCGTTAAGCGTTTGTGGATCAAGAAGAGTTCACAACAAATCTTTCACATCATCCCTTAAATCCCAATAGAATTGACTCATCAACGCTTCTTCGTCCCAAATGCTAATTGCTTGAAGTCCGATGCATAGACTGATGTAGAGTGCAGCACTTGTCGTAGTGACCGGATCTTTGTTGTAGCCCATCGAACCTTGTCGTGTTCACCAAATGCTTCCACAAACGCCTCCAAAAAGGTTTCAAAGTTGTTTAGTATGGACGATCGTTTCTCAAACAAATGAGCAAACCCTGATAGAGCTTGCCTTGTAAGTAAGGTTCCAACAAGCCCAACATGTGACTCCTCCCTTGGATAGCATTCGAGCTGTAAAACTGTTATCAACCTGATTTGGTTGACGAATCCTTGAAACTTGGAACGCGTACCATCGAACTTATCCGGAAGGCTAACTTGGAGCTCCTTATGTTGTAGAATCAGCGGTGCTTGTCGAACTTGAGGCAAAGTTGCTTCTCAAAGTGTAGAAGTTTGAGGCTGGTGCAACCTAGATTGTGCCATCCCAGATGCTCCATCATTATGAAGTCTTGCCAAGACTCCTTCAATCTCTGCAGTTCTTTGCGATAACGTAGCGAAGGCATTCATGATAGCATCCAACTTGGACTCCAAATTTTCCGTCATACTAATGTCTTAACCTCCGGCCATTCTAAAAGAAGGACAGAAATGACTGTACAAGAAGACAATATTGGTTTAGAGGAGGGTACTCCGCAACCTCTAAAATGCCTTAAGAGCTTCAAGAAAAGGGGTAATCCACTCTCTCCAAGAAGAATAAGATTCCAATATTGTAACAAAAGAAGTATCAGTTTAGAGGAGGGTAATCCGCAACCTCTAAAATGCTAGTACACTTTCAAGCAGAGGAGTAATCCATATTCTAACGAGGAAGAAACTAGCTCTGATATCTGAGATGAGTGAAGTCTCGACAAACTGTCACGGACACAGAAATACAGATTCGAGATCTAACAAGAAGTTCAAGAAGAATTGGCAAGAACTAGATTAATCAGATGAATACAAGAACAACACCAAAAAGGTGAGCTAGAGCTCCAAGAGATGTGTTGTCGAGACTGAAGAACTCTTCAGCCTCAACTCCAATATATACTCCTATTTAGGAAGCTTCTTAAGCAACTTCTATCAACTAAGAAGCTTCTAAAAGTTTCCAGAGACTTGTTGTTAGAAGGTTCTAGAAACTTGTCTCTAGAAGATTCTAAGGACTATGTCCCTAACATCTTCTACCAACTAAAAAGCTTCTAGAAGGTTCCAGAGACTTGCTTCCAGAAAGTTCTAGAAACTTGTCTCTAGAAGGTTCTAAAGACTATGTTCCTAACAACAATTGATTACAAGGGATTCACAAAGTATATAAGATGTTTTAAATTGGAGTGGTAGGAAGGACATGCACCCTAATGAATTAGTGTTCTTTCAGCCATTCAAAAAATTATCTTTCTTTAATATTAGATCCTAAATTTCTCTCCCTCTTTCCCTCTTATGGTTTGGATGTTTGACGTCTCAAAATCTTTCAAATCGTTATTTAATATTCATGACTATATTTTTGTATACAATTTAATTTTAGTGAAATTATATCAATTAGAGTGTTACTTGCTAGGAATGATGTTGTAGATTTTGCATTAGGATAGGTAGTGTAGAATTTAGATATTAGAATATTCATATTGATAGGTCTTATTGCAGAATATTGCCATTAGATGTTGTATTTTGGAGAGGGAGAATTTTGAGATTGTAGGTTATGAATTCATAAATGAGATCTAAAGGATAAGGTAAGCATGTCATGATGGTCAAGGACTACTGCATGGTGTGACCATTACGATGCTATGTAGTCATATGCCATCATGCTCATTTACATACATATGTATTTTAGCTTCTTTTGAACTACTTCTAGTGCGATTTCGAGCTTATATTGTGATTCTAAGGCAATTTAAGTATATAAGCTTTGTAGTGAGTGGATCACTCTAATTCAAGCAGCTATCCTTGGCTATGATTCTGTATCTATATTAATTTTATAGTTTTGTTGCTAGGTAGTTAAATATTTTTTTGTTGATGTAAATTTGATATACTATCTCTTGTATGTGCTTAAATATGCATATTGTAAAGAAGTGTTAATATTTCCTTAATATTTTTTACTTAATTTTGAAATTTGATTGCTTGACATAATAAAAATTAGGTATAATCTTCATTCAATGGAATCTTCTCCAACTATGCTATAAAATCTATCTATGCTTCTTTGTTGTAATCTTATACAACATCTGCTTCTTGATATTTAATCTTAATCATAGAATAGACTTCAAACATCTTTTCTATTAATTATTGATGATAATTACTTGCAACTTGAATCTACATGTTAGAGGAACTTGAAACCTTTAGTGCAAACTTTGTGAAGTCTAGCATATTTATGTGACTTTGTGCCCCATTATTTGCTTTTAGACCTCTCTAAAGTTTTCATGTTTGGATTGTAGCTTATGTGGCAGTGAAAAAATGATAGATCTGTCTTACTTTAGTAAGGCTTCAATAACTTCTAAAAATTGAGGTTAATATCTTTGACTATACTGACTTTTGTATTTACGGCTTCTTATAAATTGTCAATCTAAACTTTTGTGGCACTAAGTGTTTCTTTTGAATCAAGCTCACATGTAGTGCTTTAAAAACTATTTTGTATAGCAACACTAAAAATAGAAATATATGCTCTAGTACTAAGTGATGATATTCCAAATAGATGATATGAATTTTTTAAATTGTAACTTTTTGAGTGGAGTATAATTGAAGGGAAATCAATCTTTAAAAGAAAGTTGAATAGGATCTACTGGAATAAAGAGATTTGTACTGAAAGACTATATTTTATTTAATTCTGGTAGTATTGGGTTTTAGCAGATAATTACAATTCTATGTGAAGTTCTCAACATTTTCTTTTTAAAATTAGTTAAAGCTTTATTCTAAAGGATACATGGTGGGTGAAGAATGTGGTCATTGATGAAAAATTGGATAGTATTATATTTGAAATCATAAGGAACCAACTCCAATATATTTCATATGATATCTTCAATTTATAAACAAAATTCTTAAACAGCATAATTTTATTGGAATTTTCCAAGTAGTGTCGACTGCAACAAAAACTATCTGTAACAATGACATCGGTTCATCTAGTTCCTACTTATATAAAGTAGAGTGGAGTAAGGTGAGAGATAAAGTAAAGAGGAAAAAGATGGAGTGAAATTAAAAGCGAGAGAAGAGAGTAGAAAGAGAAAAGAGAGTGGAGAGAGAAGGAGCCGATTGCGTGGGTTGGGAATCTCTGTCGCCACGTAGACGACGCATGTGGCGCGAACGCCATCGGCGTAATCATTCCGGCGGGAGGGAACCAACGAACGAACCAACGAACAGACGAACGAACACGGAATAAATAACGAACGAGACAACGAATAGGAAAAACGAACACCGAATGAACGAACGAACGAAACAAGCTCACTAGGAGGAAGCACGGCGCAGATCCCAGAGCCCGGCGAAGGAGACGAGTACGACGAAGTAGGAAGAGAAGAAGATCCAGAGGGTGCCCCTTTCCTGCAGCAATCCCACGCACCCCCACATTTGCTGCGATCGGGCGCAAATCCCCGCAGCTAGTTAGCAATCTAGACAGCTAGATAGCATCCATGCTGCAGACAAGCCCGAGCTTGTCGCACGCTGCGCCGTCGTTGCATTCCTTCACACGGCATAGCCTGGATGGATGGCGCGCGTTGCCGCCCCTCCATCGACGGCTCCTCTGCCTTCTTCTGACTTTACGCCCTCCGTATCCTCGACCATCCTGGGTAGATTCTGTATTTAGGAGGTTGCGACTGGTCGCCTTGCTTCTGTTGTTAATGCTTCTGCTTCTTCATGAATGGATTCCTGTCATCCTCGTGGATTCGTCGCCACGTTGCTTTTTCATTTCCATGCTGACTTCGACTGTGGGTTGTGTAAAATATTCCACGCTAACATCCCGGATAGGGTTTCCAAAGGGATGGCGTACGTTACTCTCTCTGCGACTCGGGTCGCTTTTGACATTGGCTCATGCTCGGGCTATCCGACTGCGACAAAAAGACGCCATGTGATGTTAATTCCATCGTGGGCTGTGAATTTGGGTGCTGATTCTGGGTCCTGCCTTTTTTGTGGTGGCCGGGCTGCTTTTGTCCCCCATGAAGCAAGGAAGGGAAGTTTGCCTCACGGTTCTGAGCTTCATTACGAGTCCGAGCGTGGCGCGTGGCGCTTTTTTGATTTCATTCCGTGGGTGATGCCGTTGGAGGAGGAGGCAGCGGAGGCGAGACTGAGAATGGGGCGATGCGCGGAAATTGTGTAGCGAGGATTGATCCTGGATTTGGGGTTGAGGATTGTGGGCTGGAGGTTGTTTTGGGAGGAGAAGGGAATTTGGTGGGAGGTCGAGGGGACGGGGTTCGTTGCAATGGCGCCGATGGTTCTTCTCCTGAATGCGACCAAGGTTGTGGGCGTGGTGGGTGCAATTACGGTAGCTGCTAATGCGTTGACGTTTCGCCATTTTTACAAGAAGAATATAGCTCCATTCCCAGACCCGGTGGACGAGACGAAGGAGGTCTTGGCTGAATTCCCTATTGACAAAGAAGGTGAGATTCTCTCTCCTTTCAGCTCTCTTTCAGCGTTTCGTGTTGATGAAGAAGGTGAAGGCGAGTCTTTCACCTACCAGCTGTCTTGCCGTCGCACCAGGCGTGTTCGATTTAAGTGCGAATTTCGTATCCCTCTTTCATGAACCTTTTCATTTCAAGAGGGATACATGAACAAGTAGCTGTGATGCTTTCTGCACGGTATTTCCCAGCGTGACGTGTGGAGTGCATCCAAGGATAGAGCAATGAAGTCGCTTTGATTCATACTTTCGTCCTGGTGCTGTTCCTTTGAACACCTTCGAAAGTCGGGATGGGATCCATGCAGACGAGCTCATCATGCTCCTGGATTGCATTTGGCTCCTGTCCAATCTAGCTCAAAACCAAGTAGCTGTCATGCATAAAACTTTTAAACGAAACCTTTATTCCCCCTTCTTTCGTTTTGTTGAAGTTATATGTGGGTGAGTGCTTCGTCCCAAGCGTACATCCTCAGTGTTTCAGTTGTAAACAGCTGAATTTGTTCTCGAAGATGATGAAGTGTTCTTGGAGGATAGCGGCTGGTAACAGTGGAGATGTTAATTTTCTCCTTTTGATATGCTTGAAAGACAATTGCGGGATTCTGAGTGTGGTTTGGGCCTATTTCGAGAGGCTAAAGGTTCTGAAGGTATGATTAGGGGATGCACGCTGGAATCAACTCGATCAAACCTTCTTTGGGTCCCCTCTAGGTTGGGACGCCAACCGCGTTTATGAGAATATGTTTTTGGTCCCAAGTCAAAGGGTTCAAGTGCCGTCAGGACTTAGCCATGGTTCATAATTGAAAGTTTCTGCATGCAGTTGAGGATGGAGGTTTCTTCTTTGCACTTGCAACAGCGCCGGCTCATGTGGAAGACAGATTGGATGATGCGTGGTTGGAATTCGCCAAAGCCGGTGAACCTAAAGACAATCCTGCAGGGGATCCACCTGAGACCCGTACTGGTGAAAAGGATAACGCCGCCTCTTATTCTGGAATCTCGCTCACTGAAGAAGCGCAGGCTGAGGAGATTAAGAAAGGTGTGTTTCTTTTCTTGACTTCGCATTAACTTGTTCAGAAACAAGTATTATGAAGTCCCTCAGGAGACCTAGAAATTGTGATTTGAACTGAGGGAAAATCTTGAGATGTTATTTTGGATCGATAAGAGAGTGGTCAGCTAAATTCTTAGTGCGGCTACCCTTATGCCTTATTTGATGGAATAGCTGTAGGAAGACTCCTATTTGACTTCACAAATCCTACATGTTCACGTTTGTGCGAAATTCTTCCATGCAGGATTGGGGCGCAGTGAAGCACCGGATGTTGCTGGAACGGAAGAGCTTTCAAGTGAAAGTGGAAGCGTTAAGAATAGTGACGGGCTAGGTGGTGAATGGGAAGTCTTATCTGAGAAAGATAAATTAGATGCTGAATCCGAGAAGGCTGACAAAAGTTCTGGCAAACTTGAGGATGCCGCTAAGGCAGTCGAGGAGACTTTCACAGAAGGTCAGAAACTAATTACTGAAGAGGAAAAGCTCGAGACCATGAGCCAAAAACTGGATCCTGAGGCTCCGAAGAGGCCCCGACGTGTTGGCTTTCAGAGCAAGAGTACAGTGGAACCGAGTCTCATGAATGTCCCTCGCAGAGCTAAGAAGTTAGCTAAATTGTCTATGGAAGCCCTGATTCGAGGTTTTGAGAGGTTCACTGAAGAGGAAGTGCCACACAACGTGGCTGCATGGCACAACGCAATTCGTCCGTGAGTGCCTTCTGTTTTTTTCATTGTTGTGATTCAGAGGCAGGAAAATCATGTTCGCTCCTTTATTCTACTCTCACGTCCAGTTGTTAAGGATTCAAATGATTTATTCATGAGTTAACCTTTGTTTTGTTTGATGTGTGTTTCGCAGAGAAGAAAGATTGCGTTTTTGGTCAGACCCTGACACGGAAATAAAGCTCGCTCAGGGCACAAATTCAACGGTTTTCCGTATGGGTGTTGATTGGAGCCGGATTATGCCCATTGAACCTATTAGCGGTATTGAGAACGCGGTGAGTCTCTTTTTCGGCACATTCTGGTATTATAATTCTCGTTTCCTAGTTAAAGTTCCCCGTCTTCTTGATTCTGGGGGTGAGAGATTCTGGAGAAAGACGTGACGTTTTGAATGCGTGGCTGCAACTTTGTAGAAAATGGTGGTTTTTTATTCTATTATTATTATTATTATTATTATTATTATTTATTTATATGCTGTGAACATGGTATCTGTCACATCGCATGATGCGATTGTGCTTAAGTTGTATTCTTTGTAATCAAGTCATTAACCTGTCTTATTGTTCATGTCTGGGACCAGGTTAATTGGATGGCCGTAAAGCATTATCGGTTTATTATTCAAAGGGTACTTGACCATGGCATGAAAGTGATGCTGACCCTCTTTCATCACTCTCTTCCTCAATGGGCAGCACAGTACGGTGGATGGAAAGACGCCAGGACTATAAAATACTTCTTAGATTTTACAAGGTCAGCTTCTAATATAAAGCTGTTCGAAGCTTTAGCAGGCTTTGTCGTTCCTCACAGAGCATTGTGATTTCTTGAAATATAATTTTTGTGCTTTATTTTGCTGCGGAAACTCGACGTCTCAACCGTCCAGTACTTCATTAACATGAGTAGGTGCAAGTTGTAATTTTGTTTTTGATCTTCTTGAGGAATTGTGATGAGTTAGGTTTGCAGTTTGTTAATTGCTGACAAGCACGTTTGTGTGTTCTGCAGATTAGTAGTGGATAAGTATGGAGACCTTGTGGACTACTGGATTACCTTCAATGAGCCACACGTTTTTGCTATGCTCACCTACTGCGCTGGTGCATGGCCAGGAGGAAATCCTGACATGCTGGAGACAGTGACCGCCGCGATGCCAAAAGGAGTGTTCCCGGTTGTTATGAAAGCTATGGCTGATGCTCATCTTGGTGCCTATGATATCATTCATAATAGCGGGTACATCTCTTTGCTATTTCCTTGCCTTTTATGTCTGTTATCTACCTCACTAAATTATTCCGAACCTCTGCACCCATCGGACTTGCAAGGTGGAGTTTTCAAACTTCTTTAGCATGGTCTAACTTGAAGGATGGAATGTGCTACTATTCCTAGTTTATTTGTGACTTTGTCTTGTTCATACTCACCTAGGTTGTGGTCCTTTCAAATAGGAAAACCAAGAAGCCAGCGAGAGTAGGAATATCACATCACGTGTCCTTCATGCGACCATATGGGTTGTTCGATACGCCTCTGGTGGTATTTAGCAACTGGATGACACGATTTGCATACTGCGATGATGTGGCACACAAATGTGATTTTATGGGCATTAATTATTATGGCCAGGTAGGATGGCGTATCATGCGAATGCTTGTTTTTGTCATGTTGGAGGTAGATGAAGGTTATTTGCACATTTCAATTCAATTCGTGATTGAGAATTAGCTTCGTAATTTTTGCCGAACCTGCTTACACACACGATGTTTCCGTTTTAGCACTACCCACCCATCATCTGTAGAAATTTGCTTCTTGCAGGAGGTGATCTCAGCACCTGGTCTTAAGAATGTTGAGAATGATGAATACAGCGAATCTGGACGGGGTGTCTATCCAGATGGGTTGTTTAGAATGCTGATGGAGTTTCATAAACGCTATCAAAAGCACAATATGAAATTTATTATTACAGAGAACGGTGTGTCAGACGCCACCGACTATATTCGTCGACCATATCTTATTGAGCATCTACTTGCTGTCCGAGCAGCAATGGACCAGGTATACACGGAGAATGTACGTTATGATTTGAGAGGCGTGATTCGGACCTGTTGTAGTCATTAATGCTGGAAGTCTTTTGCAGGGTGTGCGCGTTCAAGGTTACTGCTTCTGGACAATCTCAGACAACTGGGAATGGGCCGATGGGTACGGTCCAAAGTTCGGTCTCTGTGCTGTGGATCGACACAAGGACCTTGCGCGTCACCCCCGTCCTTCCTATCATCTTTACTCTGAGGTAATAATTTGTTCAAAAGTACTGATTTTACGCCACTTTTTGAGATGGATACTTTGATTAGTGTTCTTTGAGGTGGAGTAATTAAGTACAGTTACTATGAAAAATGTAGTTAAAAAGAACAATCACGGGAGTACCTAATCTTATACTCGTTTTGTTGAAGGTGTCAAAAACTGGGAAAATAACGAAGAAACAGAGGCTGGCTGTATGGGAAGATCTTCAGGACCAAGCTAGGCAGAGCAAGATGAGACCATTTTGTCGAGAAACCAATGATCAGGGCCTCATGTTTGCAGGTTAGATCTTTTTATTTATATTTTCGATTTTCTTCAAGGCGTTCTGTTATGTTGTGTTATGCAGTAATGTGGGCATGTCACATATAAAATATTCAGTAATCAGAAGATTGCTGTTCCAGGGGGTCTGGATGTGCCAATGGATCGACCCTTCGCTGTTCGAGATTGGCGCTTTGGAAAGTACGAGGTAGAAGGTCTTCAAGATCCGTTAAGCTCTTTTGTTCGTTACTTCCGTGAGCGAACCCCCTTCAGGAAGAAGAGCAAACAGCAGAAGAAGTCAATCTCGAACCCAGCACTCACTGCAGCTTAGATTTGGAGCATTTCTCTACGTACAGCTTACCAGCATGTGTACAAATTTCTTTTCAGTTGTTCATGAATATTGATACGGCGGAACATGCTTCGAGTTCAGTTCCGATATCCTGCGCTGTGAAATGTGCCTTTGTGTCGAATACTTATACTTTTGTACATTTGTAGCATTTGGTTCTCTGAAGTTGATTGGAGGTGTAATACCGCAAATAAGGAAACTATTCGGTTTGAGAGGCGAAATTCGGGTTAGCTGCAAGGAGGGTGGCATCAAGTACTCACCAGAAATAGAGGGCTAGGAAGGATAAAATTGGAATGCTGTTGATAGCTTGAACCGAATCTTGGAAATTGTAATGTATTTGTGATCTTTCTACACATATTTCACTCAAGCTTATGTTACAATTGACTTTCAAATTTGTGTTCATTTTTCTGCACAAATTTTCATGGAAAAGAGAATGAGTGAACCACCTAGTTCTGTTCTTTTCACCGCGTGGTCTCTTGTTTTAAAATGATAAAAATATCTAACTTATGTCGTTTATTGACATTCAGATTTCTTGCACTGTAACAAGGACACTGCCGCTACAGTCTAAACTTGATCCATCTCTGAGGAATCTTTGAATACCCTGGACAGATTAGACAACTTTTGTGAATACCAGCAGTCGTCTAATTGTAAAAAGACACTCATGTGGTTCCAGAGTTTCAAGTGAAAGAAAGGTGAAAGAGTGATTGTGAAATCTTTGATTCCATTCCTAACATGAAGTGAGCTTCGCAACTCCAACTGAAGTTTCATATTGCAATTAGAGTGGAAGTGGGCGTCACACTTGAAACATGCTTTCATGTTTCCTAACCACTTTCATGAAACAGTTTCGAAATAATCATTATTCACTCAAAGTTTTCCATTGGCGTGGATTATTATGTTTCAAGCAGCACAATGGTGAATAATTATTTGGACTAGACTCGCAGAATCCATCTATTACTTCAGCAGCTTTTTAACCTTTTTCCATTGCAGATACCAAAAAAATCTTTTAATGGGGTTAACATGAAGTTCTTGCTCCGGGGAAAACCAATTTTAGGTGGATTATAATTTAGAATTGACGTTTCCTAATGTCAAGACGCAATGAACAATGAGTTGATTAATAAACAACAGCCTTCAAAGGTGGGTTTCACTTGTATGCATTCTTAAGACACTCACAAGCCTGAGCAATGGCTGCCTTTGTGGCAGGCGTTTGAGCGAGAGCATTCAGCATTACGAAGTCATGGATAGTGCCCAGATATCTAGCAACGGTGACAGTCACGCCAGCTTCAATGAGCTTCCTCGCAAAGTTCTCCCCCTCGTCTCGCAGCACATCGAACTCACCAGTTATAACGAGAGCCGGCGGCATGCCTTTGAATACTTCCGTCGGTGCCCTCAATGGAGAAGCAGTCGGCTCCCCCCATACATCGTGATCCGGTGCATACTGATCCCAGAACCACTGCATGGCCTGAAGAGTGAGCCACGGCCCATCGTGAAACTCCTTATACGATTCGGTATCGAACGATGCGTCGGTGACAGGGTAGAACAAGCACTGGAAGCAAAGCTTAGGGCCGCCTCGTTCCTTGCACATGATGGTCACAGCAATGGACATATTGCCACCCACGCTGTCTCCACAGACCGCAAGCTTCGAGCTATCAACACCAATCGCATTCCCGTTCTCCGCAACCCACTTGGTCGCTGCAAAGGCTTCTTCGATGGGGATAGGGTACTGCGCTTCTGGTGAAGGGGAATAATTGACGAACACCACCGCACAGTTGGCTCCGTTCGCGATGCTGCGGACCAAACGGTCGTGAGTGTCCACGCCGCCGAGCACCCACCCTCCGCCGTGGAAATACATCGCCACAGGCAACTTGCTCTTGTTTCCACTCGGTCGCACGATGCGTACCGACACTGGATGCTTGAAAGGGATGGTTCTGTCCTCGACGTCAGCTGACAATTTCTCGACGTAGCCTGCTTGTGCACCGCTCAGGACGGCGCGAGCATCTTTTGGTGCCAATGTGTAGATTGGAGGTCCTCCTTGTTTGGAAAGCACGTCTAGAAAGGCTTGAGTATCCTTTTCTATGATATTCTTCCCCATCTCTACCGACACAATGTCTCCAGAAGCTTAAGAACTCATCGCCTAAAACTCACAACATCGACAAAGATACGCAACGGGAAGAGATCCGCTCTTGTGTGAGTCAAACACACATTGACTTCTAATTGTCAACCAGTTGAATTCTTGCACTAATTGACATTTTCGAGAAGGGTGGTCTGCGGTCGTGCGTCGTCAATTCTTGTGCTAATCCTTGACTTTTTACTCCCTGTGAGCACCACAGGGAATCAGCAGGTTTGCAACTGTTTCAGAGAACTGTTTCAATGAGAGTTTATTTTAAGAGAAACTCATTTGTGTGAAAAGAAGTTTGTGATCCATGGATGGACTCTAAATCCAATAGCAACATACCATTTGATGCAGGCTTGACTTGTGCACATGACTTTGGTGTGAAGGTTGCACTGCATATAATAAAATTGTATGTTAGGTTTTTTTAATCATAATGGTCCTTAATGAAGGTAGAAGTGCTTACTTGCTTAGAGTTTGATGTGATATTTCAATCTAATGATTATTATTTTTTTTCTATTGGTTTCAATTATTATTTTTAATAGCAATATGACAATAAAATGCAATGATTAAATTTACATGTACATGTTTAAGTACTAATCACGGCTGTGAAGTGCTCTTTTCAGTTTTAAATATGTTTAATGCTAAATGTATTTTTATTATTAATACATGTTCATTTTTGCAATAAGGGAAAGAGATTTTCAACTAGTGTTTATAATGGAAAGATACATATTAATAATTACCTCACGCAAAAAAAATTAAAATTAAAATTGCAGATTGAAGATAATTTTGATAAATTCCAAGTAATCATATCAGTAAAATAATAAATGTTATGTAATAAACATTATTATTATTCTTATTATTATTTTTGTGAATGATTATTTTTGTATGTATGTGTATATATATATACACAAGGAAACAGAGGTACTCATTAATACATTCTTTCATTAATTCTTAACATTTTGAGCATTATTAAAATTGAATGTACCTTGACATGAAGTTTCAATCACAGGAATATTGAAAAGAACACAGAAAAAGAGCACCAGAAACACACCAAACAGCACGGCAATTGAAGTGGCAATTCTGAAAAGTTATGTCTTTTGAATAAAAAATTGCAACTCATGGTTATGTGGTAATCGATGGACAAAACAGTTACCAAAGGTTACATTGTTTAACAATTATGTAGCAAACAATTCTTATTAGCTAAATAATCATTTCACCATATCAATTGAAACAACAGTAGAATAATAGTACCAGGTATATATCTATATATATAATGTTTTGAAACAAATACATATTCACAACATTATGCTAATGCAAAGATTCCAAGTACATTGCAATGTATTATGTACAAAAAAATTCAAAGAATTCCACAACCAACTGATCACCACATTTTTTGAAAAAATGATCACGTAACTTAAGATGGATTTAATATTTGCTCATGAACTCAGTTTCAAGATGTAATTGCATCAAATCAATTTCATTAGAGTTTTGCTATGCCATTCATTGGTCCACCAAAAAGCAACACAAACAGAAACCCAAATTCAAATCATGAACACAATCATCATGTTCAAATGATTTCTTATTTTCTATGTTTATTTATTTTTTTATTCTTTCTTAGTGAGCTGTAACATACGAAATTTTCACTTCTAACATTGAAGGTCATTCTGATACCCACACTTGATAAAAATAAATATACAAAAATAAATGATTAAGCTGTAAACAATTACTGTTTTCTATAGTGTGATTACTTCTCCTTACCTAGTTATTAGTTTTGAAGCAAGTATACGCAGGGGACAAATTGGATAACTTATAGTGATCGAATGCAGGACTTGTAAATACTGCTTAATATTGAATTAAATATTAAATACTGCTCAATATTGAGAGGATCAAATAATGCAATTGGGTAGTTCCTAATGTGGAAAGAGACCGAAATCTCTATTACAGGAGTGGAAAATCGAAAACACATATGAATGAGATTAACGATTCATTCGTCCTTGGACATGTGAACCATGAAGACTTCGTGGCGGGTCCTATTTATTGTATGACTTGACGAATGCGTCGAGGATTGATTGATTGATTCAGGGCTGTTTCCACATTTCGCTCAGTATTTCATTCTGGTCGTTGGAGACCAATTTAGTGGCTAAAAAGGAGTCGGTTAGTCAAAAGCTGCACATTTGTAGTCTAGTTTTCAGTCAATAAAGTGTTTCGACGCTGTTCGCACGTTTGAAGGGTGTGCGAAAACCATTACCAATATTGTTTTTTCTCTTTGGGTCTCGAAGAGCGAGGCTGTGTAGGGAACTGTCGTCGTGCCCCATCGCTGGACCTGCGAAGAGGAGGAGCAAGGATCGAACTTTGGGGTTCAGAAAGCACGACCGCTGGTTTTGTGGGGTGCTAGAGAGGTGTGGGAAATGGAGACCGTGGAGGAGATCACCGTCGGCAAAGTCATCACTTGCAAAGGTAAACTCTTATTTTCACATTTGAATACCTCGCTCGGTGTGTTGCAATCCTTTATAGTGCAGCTGAATTTTGATGGCGCAATTCGAACGGACTAAGTGTTATCGTTTTTTCGTTGATCCGTTGTTCCAATTTATCAACGCCTTGCGAATATTAACAAGCATGGTGTTTGCTTCATTTCAAGTGCCACGGTCTTTCAATTTAAATGCGGTAATGGCCCTCCTGTGACGTCTCGGAAATGTGTTGGCTTCTTTCCTGTGATCATCTAGAACCAGCAACGTTAAGCTCGTTTCTGCGTGTTCTTTTGGTTGTGATGAGAATGATTTTCTGTGTCTTGAAGCTGCTGTGGCGTGGGAACCAAAGGGCAAGTTCATTGTACAGGATGTGCAAGTGGATCCCCCTCTGGCCATGGAGGTCCGGATCAAAGTGACACATACTTCTCTGTGCCGCAGTGATTTGTTCTTCTGGACGAATGAGGTCTGGTGTTCTTCCTCGTGCCGCTTTGTGTTTTTACTTCATTCCAACAGTATCACATGGTCTTGCTATATTTGTCATTGATTTGTTTGTTAATGGACATTGAGCTTGGCTGTGTTCAATTACAACCCATTACAAGAGTCGACAAGTGTAAATTGAATTTGTGGAAACAGGCTCTGGGACACACATTTCCCCGAATTTTCGGTCACGAAGCAGCCGGGTATGAGCATCTCATCTTCAATTTCAACCTAATATCTGCAGACGTATGTTGGATTTGTTGGAGAAAATTGGAGTGGATTGAGGAGAACTGTGTACAATTCGAAGCTAGAATCTCACGGATCCCGTGTGCGTGATCCCGGCAGAATTGTTGAGAGCGTGGGTGAAGGAATAGACGATCTCAAACCTGGAGATCACGTTCTTCCTGTTTTCACAGGCGAGTGCAAAGAGTGCAAGTACTGCGCGTCTCCCAAAACAAATCTGTGTTCCAAATTCGGCACGGAGTCCCTTGCAACGGGCATGAAAGGTGACGGAAAGTCACGATTTTCTGTCAATGGCAAGCCGGTGTCGAGATTTCTGGGTTCCACTTTCAGCGAGTATACTGTGGTAGAGTACCCCTATGTCGTGAAGATAAATCCCGTCGCACCCCTCGACAAAGTCTGCTTGCTCGGTTGCGGTGTTACAGCGGGCATCGGGGCTGTGCGGAGGATAGCACAACTTGAACCGGGGGCAACCATCGCAGTGTTCGGTCTGGGCACCGTTGGCCTTTCAGTGAGTGTTGATCAATTCCTGTCAACCTGTGTGTGCATTTCACTCTCAAAGTGTGCCAGAGTTGGACAGGATCTGCAGCTGACTCTCTTTTGCCAAATCCCACCTTCATCAACAAACCGTCTGCTTCTTAGAAGCTTGTTCCGTTCGTTGACACATCGATCTCGCAGGTTGTGAAAGAGGCACAACGTCGAGGTGCTTCTCGCATAATTGGCGTGGACATCAATATCAACAAGGCAGCCGAGGGTACGGTATTCCCCGTTTAAGTCTGGTGAGTGGATTGTAGTAGGCGCCTTGAATGGAATTCAATCTCGGATGACCTGTAAGTGGTGCTTTTTACAGGCAATTTTTTTGGCGTTACCGATTTCTTCAATCCAGACAATTTAGACAAGCCTGTTGAGGAGGTATCAATGTTTAGTCTACATCACTTTGCTCTCAGATTATAGACTTTTTGGTAGAACATGCACGCATTATTCAGAATCGTTCAGGTGTAGCCCTTAATCTTCTTTTTACGTGAAGCAGGTCATAAAAGAATTGACAGGAGGCGGGGTAGATTACGCGTTTGAGTGTGTAGGCAATCCGAAAGTGATGGCTACAGCATTCGCAAGTTGTCAAGATGTAAGAGCCACTCCCTATCACTCGCTTGCTCGTGCAGGCACTTTTTCTTGGCTGCAGATCGGCCTCACGTTGCTTAGGATGCGTTTAGGTATATGGGTCTTCATGTATACTTCGTAAGGGTGCCAATCGTTCCTTCTACTGAGTGTCAGGGTTGGGGAACAACGATTGTTTTGGGAGTCGCGGGGCCAGCCACTGTGTCCATTCCCACACGCTCTTTGTTGACAGGCCGGTGCATGAAAGGCACTCTGTATGGAGGCTACAAGCCCAAAACCGACGTGCCCGCGCTTGTGGAGCAGTATTTGCACAAGGTACCGCTCTTCTACACATGACGTTCATGCTCTGATGATAGATGAATTTATTACGAAATTCTAACATCCAAACGACACACGACCTAATAACTTCTCACTATCATCTACTTTTATGACCTGCTCAAGGGCCCACTACTTGAGCATTTTGAACTAAACAAGAGTTAAACCCTTCGTAAAGGTCCATTACATTAACGTGCTGCTGCTGCTGGGTTTGTGATGCACCATGTTCAGGACTTCGATGTGGAGGAATTCATAACCCACAACTTGCCCTTCTCTCGTATCAACGATGCTTTTAAGCTCTTGCAGGCTGGAGAATGCTTGCGCACCGTGTTGCACTACAATGAAACAGTTAACTGAGAACTCCGATTCGCTGAAACATTGTTGAGATTCAATTTGATGCTCCAATTAGTTAGCGGATGTGGTATGATCATAGCCGACTTGTTTTCGATTGAACCACTGGCAGCTCGACACTTCTCAGGCTGCCGTTTCGGCCTACTCTGAGGTGTAGAGTCGATTCTAGTGAATATTGTCTTCACTTGTGTAATTTGCATACTTTCCCCAAAAAATTCAGAGCACAGCATCAACGTCCGGCGAATTCAGAAGGCAATAGTTCTGGATCACAGCACTTGTTTGAATCAACATTCGAATCTTGAGACCCTAATCCAGGGATGGCTGCTTGTGGAACTGATTTTTCATAGTTTATACTTCAACAGTTGGCATGGCTATCATATATGAGCTTTTGAATACATCTTGTATACGAGGAAGAATGGATTTTACATGAGAGACAAACAATGGAGTGTTAAGCAAGGAGTATTAAAGATTCTTTCCTGGTAAACATTTTCCCTTCATTTTATCAAATAGAGTATTAATTTTGTTTTGTTGACAAGAAATGTTTTTGAGTACTGAATATTGAATAGGGTTTGTGCAGGGTATAGAGAGGAAATCTATTCAGAGGTTAACTTGTAAGGAACAATTTCTGTGTGCTGTGATCTGAATTTTGCTAGTAATGCATAAGGGACAAGATAGTCACAATGCTTTTAATGTTATCAATGTTGTCTTAATAATATCTAGCACATTTATTTTTTTAATCCTGTAAATTTTCTATTCTTCTTTTAGCAATTATCAGTCGTGTTGCAGATGAGAACAATAAACATGTGAAAATATCTTTGAATTTCTGAAGCACTAATAAATTTATCTTGATTTTATTCATGTAAAATTTGACTAATTTTACTATTTTTTCCCCCTAGAAGACTCTTAAAACATAACGTAACAGCTATTATTTATTTATTTATTTATTTATTTATTTATTTATTCCTTTTTTATAAATGGTAACGATGATAGATTTTTACTACTATACATTCGATCCAATTATGCAACCAACATTTGTTTCGTTTTGTTTTAACACTCAACAACTTGATGATCTACATTTAATTGTTAAAAAAAAACACTGTTATATATATATATATATATATATAATCGTGTTCTTCTTAACAATTATATATATATATATATATATATATATATTTACACGTGAAATAAAAAAATCCCGTAATTTTCAAAATGCACACACATGCACACATATCGCCTAAATTTAGGGCTGAGCTGTAAAGAGGACAATAATGTAAGCATGGTCTCCGTGTCACATCACCCACATGGCCACTTGTCGCGGGGGGGGGGGGTGTCTCGACCCCGCAAGGGGCTTCGTTTTGCTGAGTTTTAGTTGTTGCCTATTCTCCAGGCTCTGCTGTGACTTTTTGATCTTTTAGGGTTTATTTGATTTTGTTTCAGTTTGGATCCGGATTTGGAACTGGTGAGTCTGATTAGCATCTCTGCGTTTGAGCTTGTTTTATGTGCGGAATGTTTTTCTTTGATTTTTTGATTCCTGTCTGCGTCGGAGTTGTTACGGCACCCGATTGATGTGGACGTCTTTGGATATTATGCCTTGCTAGGGCTTCTATGTGGTCTTACATGACTTGGTCTATTGTGCAGGGCTTGGTGATCTTTAGTGTTGTTGATGCTTGTTTGATTTTTGTGAATGTGGATTTAATTGCGGAAGATGAAGGATTATCTGGGAGACTCTTCATCTGAGTGTTGCATTGATGTGATGTGCTAACACTGTCAAGGACCTGCATATGATAGCTTTCGTACACAATCTTATGGCCACCTGAGGCATTGCTTACGGGTTAGGAGTGGAGAATTTACGTACAGGAAAGGATTAGTCGAAATTGACATTCTCTTGAATCCAGGTGCCTGGGTAGTCTTGTCTTGAAAGGGTAGTTTCGAGATGGGAATTTCTGAATTTCATGGTGTTTTTACTTTGTTTTTGATGTTTTGGCGTGAATTGCAGCTACTGGAAAACAGGTCTACAAACTAAAAGAGACTTCTCAGCACGGATGTGCAGGCTTTGTGGGCTGGGACGGCGCCGGCCATCTAATCCTTTTCCCGCTCCTCCCTCGAAGCCGCAGGACCAGAACGCATCCGGTGCTGCGACGATGGAAGTTGGGCCATACACGAAGGTGGACACCCATCTTCGTGGTTTAGCACATGCAGCTGAAGGTTTTGGCCACAGTGCGAAGGGCGGTTTGGATGGAGAAATCTACCACGTTACCTCTTTGGCTGGTCAGTATAATCTATTTTCTTTTTCTGTGATCCTTGTGAAGCGCGAAAAAACGCATGCCGTCTTGTAAAAATCCTTTATCCGAACACATTCTTGTGAACTAAGCTGAATTTTTTGAGCAGATGATGGACCAGGCACACTACGTAATGGATGCCGTAGTGAACAACCCCTTTGGATTGTGTTCGACGTGTCTGGCACAATTACTCTATCGTCTTACTGCCGAGTTCGGTCATGGAAGACTATCGATGGCCGAGGCCAATGCATAAGAATCACTGGAAAGGGTCTACAACTGAAGGATTGCGAGCACGTAATCATCTGCAATTTGATTTTAGACGGTGGTCGAGGTCACGACATTGATGGCATACAAATGAAGCCAAATGTGAAGCATGTCTGGGTGGACCGATGCTCAATATCTGACTTCGACGATGGTTGCATTGACATCACTCGGGCGTCTACTGACATAACTGTGTCGAGGTGAACAATATTTGGGTTTTTAAATGTCGTGTCGATATAATGAGATTGTACAATATACGGTATGTGCACCTGGTTTTTGTGTAATCTGATAAGGGATCGTACAATTCCAGATGTCATTTCAGTAATCACGACAAGACGATGCTGATTGGGGCTGATCCAAAACACGTGGATGACCGCTGCATTCGAGTGACAATTCATCACTGCTTCTTCGATGGAACGAAACAACGCCATCCACGCTTGCGCTTTGGAAAAGTGCACCTCTACAATAATTACACTCGAGGGTGGACAGTTTATGCCATCTGTGCTAGCGTTGAGGCTCAGGTAACCACTATTTACGTGTCCGCTTATCTCTGATATGAAGCCAGCTGTAGACTATAGCTTTGCGATGCTTCGCAACAGATCACAGCAACATGTGTGTACTCTGATTTGTGAATTTTGTCTAAAGTCACGAATGATAGGTGAGTTACGTGGTGAATCTTGCACAATGGTTGATCGGCTCGATTCTAGAGTTCTTCGGAGTTTTTATGATATTCCCAGGATCTCTCATTGTCAACGTTCTTGTAGAATGCTCTTTTCAATAAGTCGACCTTCAACGATATTTAGTCTTGAATACGTATTTAACTTATTGCCGTTTTGTGCAGATTCTATCGCAATGTTGTATATATGAAGCTGGTAGCAAGTTAAAAGCTTTTGAGTACTACCCTGAGAAGGTGATGACATGCTCATTTTCCTCGTTTATGTATTTCAGTAAAGCTTCTCATTCTGCCGTTTTCTTGCTCGAGTTGTAAACAGATGCAAATATTTGTTCCGTATTAGTGAGTGCAGCGAATAGAATAAATGTTGGGGGGCGCTTAATCCGTTTAGTAACCTTGAAATAGATCTTATATATTACTGTACAGTAATCATGGTATATTTTGCGAACATTTTGAACACAAGTCTCCATGCCTGCAATTTTTCGCACTAATATTTTCCTTTTTAGCAGGCTGGTGACACGGGTTACGAGTCAGCAGGTAGTATCCGGTCGGAAGGGGATGTGTTTTTAAAAGGTGCCCAAGGGCGAGTAGATAATCCAGATCAAGTCTTCCAGCCTCAGAAATTCTATTCATCGTGGACACTTGAGGGCGCCAACGATGCTCTAATGAAGAAAGTAAAGAGTATTGCTGGCTGGCAGAAAATCTTGAGACCTCCTGATGTGACGCCCGCCCACTCAAGCTCTTGAGATATTGTGCACATTCGGTTTCAAATACCCTGTATTCATTTCTTCGGCATCCGATCGAATCTAGAAGCACAGAAAAGGTTGTTTTAACTAGATGTCTCCACAATCCCTTAATCCCGCCACGATGGACAGTTCATGAACGATGTTTTGGGGTTGGAATTGTGTTGGCCTTTCTCAGCTCAGACAGAAGACACCTGCACGCTGTGGAAGAAATTCCAGGATGTATATTTATTTTGTAGAATATGTGTTTTGGTCTGCATCTATGTTCTGTTGGATATTTGGCATTTTACCTTCTTGTGTTCCAACAGGCACGAATTTTTACCAGTTGAATTGAAATTAACCCTGCTTTTTGCTATGGCAGTCTTCTCCTCTTTATTTCCTACCGTTTGTTGTACATGTTCCGAGTCGTAAATTATTCATTCACTTTTTCGTAACATGGTTACAGAATCTCCTGACCTTTGCCTATTTGCACCACTTTCAATGAAACCTAACCACTGACATTGTACTTACGTAAGAAATGTTAGATTTTGTAACTCATTTTAAATGGAGAGAGGAGAATGTTAGATTATTTTGTAAATCATTTTAAGTAGAATTTTTTTAGATATTTCAAGCATTAAGAATGATTTTAGTTTTACCAATTTTAATCACGTAATTGCAAAACCATTTGGATTTAAAAAGCAAAAAGATGTCCAAAATAAATAAATAAATAAATAAATAATCATTATGATGAACTAATAATATTTTGATTTTTTTTAAAAAATATTTTATTATATTTTGTGTAATGTAGGTGAATGCCATTTTTTCATAAACATGTGTAGTAATGTTAAATAATAATGGTTAAGATTCAATTAGTGGAAGATCTTTATTAATGATATTTTATGTTTTTTTAATAAAGTCTTCATCTAAAAAACAAGGTGAATCTCTTGAATCTAATAAGACAAAGATTTGTGATTCTTAGGTTTTAAACAAACTTCTATTACAAAACAAGCAAAGGGTTCTTAAAAAAGAATAGGATCTTTACTAGATGTTGCATTCAATTCCAATCAACTCTCTATTATAGCTAGACAAACTTGTTTTCTAATACATTATCTTCTTTAACAACCATGCTCTTCATTTTGTGGTTGCATTGTTTCTATAGATAATATTAAACAATGTACTTAGATTCTTCAAAATATAAGCATAATCCTTTTTCATGATATCAAGTCTTTTATTGCTTAATGAGAGGTTTAAAATATATCATATTAATTTGCATAGGTTTTAATTTTGATGATTAAGTTTTTGAAAACCTAAGAATTTTTATTATGTCTTGATTTTTTTTTTTTTTTTTCTAACCAAGTCCTTACTCTTGGTATATTTTAAAAAGTTGATTATTGCATGCAATAGCTTGAATAATAAAATATTCTAATAAATTTGCTTTTAACATCAATAATAATAAACCTTTGAGTATATCTTTTAACCTATATGAGAGTTTATTGATACAAGCTTTATTATTCCAATCCACATTGCTATCAAGATTTTGGAATTTGACAATATAGATGGTAGCTAATCATGAGCCTTATTATAAAGATAAGAATTCTATTATTGCTATCTTTTTTCAATTACTTTCTCCAAATGTGGTTGTAAATACTTCTAAGAATGAATTTAGATTATATAAAAATTGTGAATCCTTTTCCATCAAAGATACAAATCAAGAAAGAAAACTTTTATATAAGAATATATCTTTAAGTCTACTTCGAAAAAAATCATCAAGGTATTGACAGAAATATAATTTTAGATAGAGTTTGACTTTATGTAAAAATCCTCGTAAGATTGATCTTGTTCCATTAAACTTCTCCAACATATTAATCTTTACCTCTACTAGACTAGTAGTAGTAAGTCTTTTTGAATTTATTTGTAAGATTGAATTACTTGTTTTTTTCAATTATAAAACTTTTTTGTATAGATGTTTGATCTCATTGTTTACTTTTTTTTATAAGCATAAAAATAGTACTTCCATAGTTGATATTGTTGATATGTGAAATTTCTACCTTAAGAATATTGAGAAGTTTGTAAATATTTGCAACATGATTCTTACTTCCAATAAATTTAGCATTCATAATTTCTTCTTCTATCTCTATAATAAACAACTTTAACAAAATTACAAATCAAATTAAAGAAGAATAATTTGCAAGTTCTAACATTAAATAAAAAATTTTACAAAAAAAAAGGTTGTGTATTTTTTTAATAAAGAAATAAATATTCAAAAAAAAAAAAATAGTTTAAAGATAGGTAGTTTGTATCCTTTAAAGTAAAATATAAGAAATATTATAATTTATTCATTTTTGAAATAAAATAAAAATAACAAATTATCACTCTTGACAACCATTAAGAACATGAATCATAACAAAACTTTAATGAAATAATATATTTTTATAGCATTAAAAAGAGTGAAAGTAAAAAAATCAAATTTAGATTTAACATAGAAACTAATATGGCTACTTCCAAATATAAGAAGACTAGAAGTTCTTGAAATAAGACTAAGAACAAGAGAAAAAAAAAAAAAAAAAAAAAAAAAAAAATTGACAAGAATGAAAAAGACCTTACCTTTGCCTTTATATATTATCTAACTAATAGGTTGTATATTGATATTTAAATGTCATTCAACATTTGTTTAACTTGCAATGTAAGCTTTCAACATCTGTGCTACATGGCTAATTTATATGACAAGTGACCAACATGTGCAATATGTGGTAAACTTGTAAAGCATGTAGTCAATATGTGCAACACATGGCCAAATTATTGGCCAAGTTTTTAACCTACCATTCATTTATCAACACTTCAAAAGTCAATATTGTATCCATAAAGCTTCTCCATAAGATATTATCAAATTTAATTGCTTCTACTTATTTCTATCTAATTCTTTTAATTAAGATAATTATTAATATAAAATTTTATTTTTGTAAAATTTATTGATTTTCTGAATATATGTTATTTTATTAAATTACATATCTTTAAAATAGCCTTGAGATTTATTTTTTTGTCAAAAATAAAATAGTCAATATTTTTTAAATTCTTTAATTGGATCTAAGGTATATTTAGAGAGAATTTAAGAAAATTTTCATATTTTTTAACTAATAGTTGAATTTTCTATATTAACATTTAAGAAGGTCTTGCTTTATTATTTGGATTGTAATATTGAAAAAAATCTTGTTTTTTCTATCATTTTGATAGAAGTTAACTTTCACTTAAAATGTGACAAATGAATGTATACTTACTTTGGCTCACAATCCAACTTTCTAAGCTCAAACTAAGCATATTGACACTAAACACCACTTTATTGTAAAATAATTCTTAAAGGAGAAATTTCAATGAAATTAGTTATTTTAAAAAATAAATGCAATAATTTTATAAAAAACCATTAAATAAAGCTACTTGTTAGTAGTTTTAAGATTCTATTGGTTTTCAAATGTTATTATCTTTGAACACCAATTTTTTCTTCAATGATTTCACTACTATCACTTTTGGCTTAACCATACATTTTTTATTGCTTTTTTTTTCAAATAGCTAAAATTTTCAATTTACTATTAGAATCTCTTAACCATCCATAATAATATATGCAATGTTGTATGCTAGTTTTATATTAGCTAAAATAGACTCAATATTTTTTGTAGCAACTCCTAAATAATGTATATGTTTGTTTCAATAGATCTACATTGCTTTCTTGGTTCTTTACTACCACTCATTATTGACTTTGCACTAAATGTAATATTGTTCTATTTGAGTTTTTTTCGACTCTCAATTTTTCTATTCTAAAAAGGCTTGTTAGAATTTATATTGTTGTGTTATGTAAAATTTAGCTCAAAAATTCATTTAGCATTTGATTGTTAAAGAATTCTAACTTATCTTTAAAAAATTCTTATAATAAAAAATAAATACACAAGGCCTTTAGAAACATCAATATTAGAAATTTAACCCTCTTAAAATCTTCTAATCAATTAAATTTTATTTCTTTTAATTTTAAATTATATCCTTACTAATGCCAATCTTATCATTGAATGACCTTGTTTAAATAATTTTTAAGATTATTTACATGCTTTTGCTTATTTTTAAATTAATTAAGTATTTTAAGCTCATAAATATGGATTCTACTAAAAATTCTAAAACCACTACCAACCTTAATCAAACATCAAAAAATATTTAAGAAAATATTAGAGAAAACTAATTAATCTTTATAAATCCTAAAATAAATTTATTAATTTCTAAAAAAATCCTAATCAAATCTTAAATAAATCCTAACTAAATTCTAATGAATCTTAAAGAAATCCTATCTATATGTTAATTAAATTTTGTAGAAATTCTAACTAAATTCAAACTAATCTTAATAAATTATAATCAACTCTAAGTTGATTCAACAATAAGTTGAAATTTTCTAATCAATCTTTGATTTTATTTTTAAAAAATTCCAATTTTTAAAATCTTAGTTGATAAATATGCCACAATACTTTGAAAAGAGTTATACAAACCAATTAAAAGAGAAGTTAAATATTATGCTTAAGTATTAAGTAGCCTCCTTTTTAACCTTAATATTGAGCTTCTAGTTCCAAGATCTCCTTCTTGAATTATAAATACTCTTCTAAAATTTGTGTAAATGTTAGTATTTACATCAGCTATCAATCCACTAATTTTTACTCCAATCTAATTGCTAGATTTTTCAGGATCTTAGAAACCCTTATTGGCCTTCAAATCTTTGATTTCTAATAGTCGAATCTATTTGAATTATATTAATCTTTAATCTAATTGTCTAATTTAGCTTAAATTCACAATACATATTCATTAGAACTATGTTAACATGTCTATAAAATTCTATTTTAACATCTACTAAAATATTAACAATTTTAAAAAATATATAAATTGTTCAAAACCAATGCTTATAGAATCTCCTTCAAGTTTTCTCTCTAACCTTTCTCTCCAATAAAAAAAATAGAACCTTGTATCTATTATAGATACACAATTTTGTGCCTTGAAGGCTAGTTTTGATCCTAATTTAAAACCAATTCTTCTTAAATATCAATTTAAAATTTTTTAGAAAGTTTTTACAAAAAACTATGTTTTTTTTTTACTTAGAAATGCATGTAGTATTATTTTTGCTAATCTACATTATTTTTCTTTCTTTATGGCCATACAAAGAAAATAAAAGTCTTTTTTTCAAAAAAACACCATTAATACTAAAATTTTTATTACGTCTCTATCTTTTGTATATAATTTCTAAAGTAATTTTCCATTAATTCTTTTTTTTTTTTTAATAATATAGGTCATTTTTTTCTCTTACATCCAATAGTGATGTTACAATATAATAATGTTACTTGTTGTGGCTTACTAGGATAGACATTGAAATTATATGTTGAAGAATCAAATAACTCTTTAATTAGACAATAGTTAATATCTTAGTTTAGTGATACTTTTTTGTCCTCATGTGCATATGGCTTATGGTGTGCCTACCTTCTAGTTTTGTCTACTGATTTACTATTCTTGCTATTTAGTTTGGGCTCTTTCTTTTTGTTTATTTAAGCTAGTTTGCATTAATAATTTAGTGACATTTTACAACATTTTCCTCTATCTTTCTGAAGTACTAGTCTTAAAACACATATCATTTTGTTTATTTGTACATGTTGTCAAGGATATTAAGCCTCCAATTTCTTAAAAAGAATTATCATTAAGTGTAGCAAATGAGCTTTTTTTTTAGCATCTACTATAGAAACAAGATCTTTTTTCTTTTATAGAAGACCCCAATCTTTAATAGTATTTTTAAGGTCTTCTACTCTATATATCTTATACTTGTGTTTGTACAATCAACTACTTATTAGCCATATTGACATTCCAAATCTTCTACCAAATATTTAAACTTGTCTTTATTGTCATATCATATTATAAGCTTTACAATGGCTCAAGTATTCTAATAGAAACAAGAAACTACAAGATATATAATAGGTGCTTTGATGTATATAGATTTCCTAAACCTTTAAACTTATGACACTACTCATAAATCCAATTTTACTATAAAAACAAATAAATGTTGATTATATGAGAATTAATCCTTCTTTGTCACCACAAATACAAAATAGAACTAAACAATTGATTTATCCATGCTACCTACAACAACAAAACTTTTAAATAAACTATATCTTTAAATAAGCTTCAACATTTGCAATTAGATGGATTAATATATTTGTTATCCTAAATTAGCTCTATTAAGTTTTTATGTAATAAAAACCTTACTACAATATATTTTATGACTATAAAATTTTCTAATAATGGCTACAATAACTATACAAAAAAAATAAAAAATAAAAAATCTTAGTAAAATACCAGAATAATTGTGAAATTACAACTATAATAAAACTATCACAAGAATATTGAAAACATGATTTTAGAAAAATTACGACAATAATTATAAAATACTAAAAAGGTAAAAGTACCATATAAGAATTGCTGTAAAAATCAATAAATATAATTTTATTGTTAACTTATCCTATCTCTCTTAGTTTTTTTCATGATTTATAAAAAAAGACAGTGTCAAGGTTGCAATTTCAGCAACAATAACATCATTCTAACAACTCTGCATAAGCATTTTGCCAATCTTTTAGTAGAATTCAAGCAACTTCAGTAGTCATCCAAAACTAAAATTTTGTTTTCCACAAATTAATCAACAAGAGCACATTTTATCTCTAAATTTTTACAAATGTTGTAAATCGATACATTACGTTACTTTAGCAAACAAAAAAAACATTTTCTTTGAGTAGAAAACATAGGAATTCTCTTCTACATTCCATAGTCTCATTTATACTAGACTTGCAAATACATTGAAGCTTGAAAAAAAACCTCATGTTGATCAAGTAAAACCACCATCAATCACAAGAATTCATTCTCTAAACTCTAACCTCCATCAGTAACTTAGAGTGTAGTATCTTAAAGTTTTCAATATACTAAACACAAGTCTTTGCAAGATAAGAGAAATTTTCATGTATACATGTAGGACTGTTTTATACAGTGTGTGTGTGTCTGTGGGCACTGGAAGGAAACAGCTCTGGACTTGCAGCCTGGTAACCGCCGCTTGGCAAGCTCATCATCGTAGACGAGGGCTGTGCGTCGACGAGAGGCCATAACTTGAAGCCTAGATCGCCGAGAAAAACTGGGTATCACCGGATGGCGAAACAATTCCTTAGTTTGTCACCACAATAGCATTTTCTCCAAGATCGAAGTTAGATTTCAAGCCTGCGGGCAAACCACGGCGGGCTCTGGAGGCGAGGTCCCGCACAGCCTCAGGAGTGTGGGTTTTATGGCAGTTGGAACCTTGCAGTTGGCTCTGATATGTCTCCATTGCCGCTCTCTGTTTAATCCCTTTGTCTCTTCCTATTCATCCTTCTCGCGGCGTAGTGTAGGCAGCAGTGGAGCTGGGTAGGGCGATTCTGTGAGGGGAGAGCAAATTGCTACAGCCGCACGCTCAGGTAAGTAGCTCATTCATCCCTTCTCTACTACTCTTCCTGGTTACGACTGGAACCCTTGTTGTGGGTTTTGTGAATTTCGCGGTTTAGGTTGTCTGTGAATTGGTGGTTTGCTCCGATCGTGGCTCGTGTAATTGTGTCGGAGTTTTTCAGCTTCGTTCCGGGTTTGTTCGAGGAGAGTGCAGAAGAGTTATGTTGCGAATTTTCCAGCCTGGGCGAGTGCCAATTTAGCCATTACAATGTTGTACGTGCGCTCTTGATTGCTTTGTAGTACTAGTCGTTTCTTTTCTTTTCTTTTCTTTCTTTCTTTCTTTACTTATTTTGATGGTTTTAGCGAGTCTTTAGGACTCGTCGCTGGTTGCTCATATTTGCTAGCTCGGAAAGATGGAAGTCAGTCCTAGTCATATTGTATTTTACTGGGGTCGTGTCCTCTCGCAACAGAGATTGTAGCCGTAGTCTATAATGATGCACGTCATGCTGTCTCTTCAGACATTTTCGTTAGCTCAATGATAAATTTATTTTGCATCGACGCACCCTGCCATCTAGTGTTCGAAACGTGACAGTGTCTCTCACGGATTGCTTCAGCGGTAATTGAACATTTACGACAGGGTTTGTGAATTTTGTGAGCGTTATCTCGTTGGAAAAAATGCTTGAATTTTGCTTTCCGACAATCTAGGACTTAGCAAGGATGGATAAGTTTCAGTTTTGAATACTTACTGTTTCAAGTCTGTAAAAGAAGCTGATAGTATAGCATTTCTTGACCTGATTCAATTGAAAATCCTGTAGTTTAATTGAAACTCTTAATCGATGATCCAGCCCATGTATTAAGCCTAAACCAAATCTGATCCGTATAAAGTCTTGAGTTTTATTTTCTACTTCTATGTTGTGAACATTACGGCTTTTGAAAAAATTATCGGAATGTTTTCAGTCAATTATTTGGACCTGGGAGTTTGAGCTTGCTGTTGCATTGATTTTAGCTTTCCGTTCGGTCATAGTGAAATCTGTCGTTGAAAATTATTTCTTAGTGAAAAATCTGATTTTTTTAGATTCGATGACTGTATGCAACAGGATGGCGTACGTTGCTCTCCCTACGAGGAATAGTACTGTGCTTCACCTGGCCAATGCTGCGGCAAGGCTTCCTCGCAATGCTTGTTCAATCGTGCAGTCTTCCCGCTCCTTGAAAGATATCTTGCCCCTGAGACCCTTGAAGGTGCACTCTTCGTGCCTATCTGCTGCACGCATTCTCTCAAATCTTACCACAACAGATTGGAGAATCTTTTCTTCTGTGGAAGACAATGTCACAGTGGAGGAACCCGCTGTGGACGCCACTGCTGGGGGTTCTGGAGGTGAGAACATTCCTGAGGCTACCGCTGCCGAAGAAACAGAGTCCTCCGAAGCTTCTGCCAAGAAAATGCAGAGGAACAGCACCATGAAGGGGCGAGCTGGTGGAAAGACGATCACCGTCCAGAAGGATCAGATTGTCCCAGGCGCTGTTTTCACTGGCAGAGTTCGATTTGTTCAACCCTACGGTGCATTTGTTGATATTGGAGCTTTCACTAATGGATTGGTACACGTTTCTGAACTAGCGCCAGGGTATGTGAAGGATGTGAGTGACTTTGTAAAAGTGGGCCAAGAGGTTACTGTGACAGTGCTTGAGATGAATGAGAAATCCAAGCGGATCGCATTGACGATGCGGGACAGAGAAAGCGAAGCCGCGGTGCCGTCATTTCGATCTGGAGATGAGTTGAATGCAGGGTCGGGGACTAGTGGAGATGGCAGTGGAAAGCCAACGAACCAGGGCAAGATTGCTGGAAGGGGAAATGGAGGCTCGAGGTCAAATTTGAAGCCGAAGTTAAGGCAGAGTAAGGCAAAGGTGTGCGTTTCTCTGGGCGGTACCTGTAGGACGACGGGTCTTGGAAGCAGTTTGTTTGACGTACCCGTGCGGTACATCGTTTCTGCACGTGCGGTGGTTGTTAAATTTGAGCAGTAACTGTGAGATGACGTCGGATGGAGAAGTGTTGGAATTCTGATTTGCACGCGTCTTTGTGGTTTCATTATGTGGCAGACGAAGCTGAAGAAGGGTGAAGTACTGAAGGGGACAGTGAAGAACATCATCCGGAACGGTGCGTTCATAGAGTTCCCTGAGCAAGGAGAGGAGGCGTTCCTGCGAGGGTCAGAGGTCACGGAGGGTGGGGAGAATGTACCAATTGAGAACCTTCTGACGGTGGGACAAGAGGTGACCGTGCGAGTTCTGAAGATCGAGAGAGGAAAAGCTTACTTGACGATGAAACCACAAATTGACATGACGGCAGTGAACGACTCGATCAACTCGGGTGTCGTAGGAGGTGCCACGAACCCTTTCGCAACATTTTTCCGCAGCGTGAACATGGTTTCTCGAACCCTTGTACCTGTAGATGCACAAGAGACAGCTTCTGCAGCTCACGAAGCACTTACTGTTGACAAAATCGCTAGTGTTCCTGAAACTTCTGCTGCTGAGGAAGCATCCGATGTGCAAGAAGCACCTGTAATTGAAGTGATCTCTGCAGCCCAGAAAGCTCCTACAGAGGAGGAAGCCCCTGCAGTTGACGCTACCTCTGTCTCTGAGGGAAAATCTGCCGTCGTTGAATTTTCTCCTGAAGTATCTCAAGCTTCTGTGGAAAGCAGTGAGGAATCATCAGCTAGTTCTGAGGCAAATATCGAGGAATCTCGTTCACTCTCACTTGGAGAGCTTGCTGAAGGGATTGGCAAAGCTGTAGGCGAAGTTGAGAATGTGGTCGAGGCTGCTGCACAGAGAGTTGAACACGTAGTTGAGGCCGCTGCAGGTATTCAAATAGACATCATGCTTACACAGAGTATTTAGTTGTATTTTCTACGTTTGTGCTGTATGGGTTTCGCAAGTATTCCTTCAACTTTAACTTGAGTTTGTTTTCAGATATTTTGAAAATTGGAGAGAAAGCCGATGAATCCAAAGAAGCTGCACTTCAGGAGCCTGAGGCATCTGCAGCTGAGGAACCAGCAGAAGTTGCACCTCAGGAGCCCAAGGCTGGACCACCTGAAGAATCAAAAACAGCTGCAACTGTGGAACCTAAGGCAGTTGCTTCTGCAGGACCAACTTCAGCACAAGTGAAGCAGCTACGGGAGAAGAGCGGAGCTGGAATGATGGATTGTAAGAAGGCTCTTGTGGCCTGCAGCAATGATGTCGCTAAAGCACAGGAATATTTGAGGAAGAAGGGTCTTGCAAGTGCTGAGAAAAAAGCTGGTCGCATTGCTGCTGAAGGCCGCGTTGGAAGTTATGTTCATGGTGGACGTCTGGGTGTGCTTATCGAGATAAACTGTGAAACGGATTTTGTTTCTCGAGGTTCTCAGTTCAAAGAACTTGTAATGGACATGGGCATGCAAGTCGTAGCTTGTCCAGCTGTAAGTATGCAACACAGTTTAAGGTTTCTTGTTACACTATTCTTTTTCATCGTCCAGTTCTAATTGTATCTAGCTAAATGTTCCAGACATGAGTAATTTATTTTCATTGAAATTTTAACACAAGCAATTGAATGTTCATAATTTCAGGTTCAGTATGTTAGTACAGACGACGTACCAGCTGATTTTGTGGCAAAGGAGAAGGAGATAGAAATGAGCAAGGAGGATCTTGCAAACAAACCAGTCCAGATTCGTGAGAGGATTGTGGAGGGCCGGGTGGCCAAGCGGTTGGGGGAACTTGCACTATTGGAGCAGCCTTTCATTCGGGATGACAAAGTTCCCGTCAAAGATCTTGTGAAAGAACTAACTGCGCAACTTGGGGAGAAAATTCAGGTTGGTGCACATGAATGTTATTCGGTGAACTTAATCTTTGTGTGCAAGGCTTTGTTGCTAGCTGTTGACGCGTTTTTTTTTTCAGAGTTGTTGCTAGCTGTTGGCACATGCACTTTTGCGTATAATTGTTCCGAGCTAATTGGAACTTCACTTTCAATGTTTGGTCAGATTCGTCGTTTCGTGCGGTACAACTTGGGAGAGGGTCTTCAGAAAAAGTCTGATGACTTTGCATCTGAGGTAGCAGCGCAAATAGCAGCCAAGGCTGATCTAAAGCCAGTCACAGAAGTTCCTAAGGTTGAAGTGGCTAAAAAGGAAGAGGATAGTCCCAAGGTAGGATGTCTTCGATTTGACACGCTCCTTGATTATTCTTTACCTGATTTTCTACAGCTGGCACCGCCTCTACTTCTTTTCTTCACATCACTTTCTCGATACTCTCATGCAAACGCTGAATCCTGATGTTACTGGGTGTTGTGTTGTTGCTATAGTCAGCACCTTCCAAGTTTGTTCACCTGATTTTTGAAGTTAGGTGAGTCGCTTAGTAGCTATGGCTAACAGCTCAGACGTGACACACTTAAACAGGTAGCGGTATCAGTATCCAAAGTGAAAGAGCTCAGGGAAATGTCTGGGGCAGGAATGATGGATTGCAAGAAGGCTCTGGCAGCTTGTGACAATGACATTGAAAAAGCAACCGAGTATTTGAGGAAGAAGGGCTTGGCCAGCGCCGATAAGAAGTCTGGCAGGATTGCATCAGAAGGTCTTATTGGGAGCTACATCCACGATGGACGTATAGGTGTCCTCATCGAAGTCAATTCTGAGACCGACTTTGTTTCCAGGAGCGACCTGTTTAAGGAACTTGTTGCCAACATGGGAATGCAAGTAGCTGCTTGCTCTCAGGTTAGTAAATTGAAGAAGTCAAAGAAAAAGAAAAAGAAAACTTCCATCTTCCCTTAATTTTTAAGTCGAAAACTAAGATTTTTGTTTCCGAGCCCTGTTCCTATCCTTCTGAACAGGAGTTGCCCAAAGAGAGCAATTTAATTGCCCATAAACGCGGATCGTTGCACGCCACCAGATGTTCTTAAATCGTCCGGTCTTACTGCATTAGGAACATTTATTAACACCAGAGTCCTGTGGCTTGGCAGGTGGAGTACGTAACGGTTGAGGAAATCCCCGCCTCAATTGTTGAGAAAGAGAAAGAGATTGAAGCCAGCAAGGAGGACTTGGCCAACAAGCCAGAGGCTATTCGCAGCAAGATAGTGGAGGGTCGCGTCGCCAAGACTTTGAATGAACTGGCTCTGTTAGAGCAACCATTCATCAGGGACGATAAAATTTTGGTAAAGGACTATATCAAGCAAACTATTGCTACTCTGGGTGAGAACATCCAAGTGAGGCGGTTCACCAGGTTCAACTTAGGAGAGGGTATTGAAAAGAAGAGTACCGATTTTGCTGCTGAAGTCGCTGCTCAAACTGGGGCCAAGGCTTAATCAGGTGCGAAGGCTAGCTTGTAGTAATAGTTTTAGTTATTTGCCATAGAGTTCAAAGATTAGCAGCAACTATTAAACTCTTGGGAAGCTTTAGCTTAGTAACTCTTCGACGTACATTTATTGTAAAATGTGGTAATTGGGCAGTGAATTTTTGGATGGTTTAGCATGCATCCAGTTCAGTTTCTTGATAAGTAGATCAATGTTTTTTTGTTTTTTTTTTTGTTTTTTTTTTTTTTTTTTCTTCGCTTTCTTGCATGAATTTCATTGTGTTTCCAATTCTTGTGACTTCATTCACAACCAGCTCTATGTAGCTTATAGAACAACTAGCTTGCTGATAGCTCTTGCTGACAATGATCAGTGTTGACCTTTTCTATTTCCTTGACTCTGCTGGAGATGGGTACAATCAGACCGGCGCCTGTTTTAATTTCACTAGAATCCAAGACTTGGTCCAATGCTCAAAAGGTGCTGCTGTAAAATGGTATGTAACATTTTTATTTTACAAGCTCTTTAGTTTATTAAGTTGTTGAGTTTCCAGGATCAATCGTGCAATTAAGATTAGAGGATATTACATAGAATACAAAGTTTTAAGTGAAAGAATATGTACTCGTAGTAAGTTTTACAGAAATTGTCAAAATTATGAAGGTTTTAAATGCGTTGTTTGAGAATGGATATTGAAACCAAAACTTGTGTAGAAAAAATGGTTGAATGTGTATTACGATATGCGTTTTGATGAACACTTTTTGAAAATAGCTTTTTAATTGCATCAAAGGATACTTGTTGATATCTTGAATCGAATGAAATTTTGGCACGGAATGCAGGTATTCTAGGCACCCTCACTAGAAACATCGTTGCCTATTTTTTTAATTTTAATTAAATACATTCGTATGTGATACATCAAGACAGAGCTTTCTTTATAAGATAATTGTAACTGAGAATTTCTTTGATTTTCTTTTTTATCTTTTCTTTTTAGTCATTTTTTCCTGATTACCCGGAAACTTTCCAGCCCTGAACCGGAAATCAATACAAGGTGTTTTTTTTTTTTTTAAATAAATTATTGAAATAATAATAATTTAAATATTGGATTCTTTTTTTATTTGTTGACCAAGATAGCATACATTATTACAGAATCTCTTCCAAAACTCACCAACATTTGAGGGACTAAAGACTTTTAATTTTAGAAATAATTGTTTAAAAAATATGGAAAATATCCTGATCTTGATGATAAACACCCATAGTTGTTGCTCTGAATACCATTAAGACCCAATAAAGTTAAATAGAAATAAAATAAATCTACAATTGACAAATTTTTGGGATTCTTGTTTTGATCAATAAAAAGCATTGATTTAGTATTTTCCTACATGTATATTCTTATATTTTCCTATATATATTTATAAAAAAATCTATCTATATATATATATAATATCACATGATTATTAAAAATTATAGAAGTTTTTATAAAAATTCCATACAACTTTATTAAACATGCTTTTATAATTCATTGATGAATGAGCCTCCTTGAAACTATTGTGTGGTTATAAAATATAATTAGATGTCTTTATTAGACTTTTAGAACAGCTCTTATAGATAAAAAAAATAAATTTAAAGTCATTAGTACGAGGTATATGTATTTAAGGAGAGAAGATTTAAATGTCATAACTTTTAAATACTTTGCTTGGCTGGAATCAAGAAACCTCACTTAGTCAGCTTTACACCTAAAACAAATCAACACAAAAGTCTCCAAAAGAACTAGTTAAGGAAGAATGATCTTTTCTTCTTAGGGCATATACAAATGGGACACCTCAAATTGAGATTTTAACAAAAAACAAATTAACAAATTTGTTGAAAACTACTACAAATAATTGGCAAAATTCAAATCTTTCTTGCATGAGTTTCATTTTGATTTATGCATCAAATTTATTTATACATCGTTTTTTTATTTAAAAATACTGGAATTAATACCTTGAATAAAGTAATTCACTTTTTTTTTCTTTTCTTCTTTTTTTTTTCAAAATGTTAACATTTTGAGTAGAACAATGGGTGACAAGTCTGACAGTGAATTTCCATACAAAAATAGTACATCTACATGTATATTTATATTTATATTTTCTTATATTAAAAAAAAAAAAAAAAAAAAAAAACACACACACACAATTTTGAAACAAGATTTTAGTCTGATGTTCTACATTCTTTCCAACTACATCTTCAAAAATTGCAGATTTACAACAATATAAAACTCAGTTCCAAACATCCAAATAGTTTTAACATTCTCCTTCAAATTTCTATATTTGCCTATGACCCTCTTGTAGAAATGTTTAATTTGAATAATCATTTTTTTAAAGTCAATTTTTTCTTTAAAAATGTTGATATATATTTGAAAATATTGGTGGTATATATTTATATTGCATATTATCCAAAAATTTATCCATTTAAATAATATAAAAGTATAAAATTTTGCAATCTATTTACAATAAACTCTTAATTTTTACTGTATATATATATATATATATATATATATATATAAATTCACATGAAAATAAGAATACAATTGGAAGATTTGTATTATCATTCTCTACTTGAAACAAAATTTACCTTATATTTGAATGTATGTATGTATGTGTATATATATATATATATATATATTAAAAGTCAATAAATTATGTCAAAGTTTTGAAAGCAACTATATATTTTTATGAGATAATAATCATATTTTTTAAAATAGTATTCCAAACACTATAATGTAAGGATCTTTATTATCAGAAGAGAAGGCAAAGGGCACCAACTTTTCAAATTTGAGATTAACTGCAATTGACGAGATTTTAATAGTTACCTTTGTACTTAGAAAAGTCAACCAAAAAGCCATAAAAAGAAATAATAAGGTAGAATGTTTTTTCTTTGTATATGGTGTAGATAATATTGTCTCCTCAAATTTGCATTACATCCATCTAAACAAGTGGTTTTACAAAATATATATATATATATATATATATTTATGTCTTTAACAAAGTATTAATTAAGGACATATATAGAGAGAATCACATATTTGTAAACTGTATTTTATTATAATTTTTAAAGTAAAATTTATACAAAAATAAATAAATTAATCACTGTCATGATCTATTCTTATTTTAAATTATTAGTAAAGACCAAGGCTTGCAAATTGCAACTTTTTTCTATCAAGCAAGTAAATTTCAAAAGAGTTTTGAACTAAAGTCTTATAAAGTGAGCTTCTATGTATAATTACCCTTTGGAAACACACACCAACAACTCAATATAATCTTTCTCACAAGTGAATCCATCATACCTATGTAATTTTTTTTATTTTTATTTCAAATTATATTTACAAATTTTGATATTTTATAAGAACTCTGTCTATTACAATAACTTGAGGACCTCATTAAATATTTTATTATTGTTGCCTACTAAATCATCAAAGAAGTTCAATATTCAAAAACAAGGAAATACAGGCTTTAAAACATAAGAATATAAATTAACCACGTGTTAATTATAAAACATACATAATTGAACAATTTAAAAACTATAATTAAGTAATCTTATTATCATTATTATTATAGATTATTAAATATTCATTGTCCAAACAAGTCATAACATACACTTATCCATGTGCAGTTTTATTTCATTGTTAAAGTATATAAAATTTTGGATTATGCTTAAATTTCATTTAACTTGTTTAAAATTGTGTAAATTTCACTTTAAAAACAATAGATTCTTAAATGGATGCCGATAGTTAATTTCTTATCTGACATATTTTGATCCAACATAAATAGAAGTAAAAATACATAACATATGATAGAGAAAAAAAAGTAAGTCTAAGAAGTTACAAGACATTTTAGCTACAAATTTATTTATGACAATTCTATAATAAATTATGTGAAAATCTGGCACAATAGAAATTTTTTCGTAATTTTTAAATAATCTAAGTATTATATTCTTGAATGATTTTTAAATTGGGGGCTTTGTTAAAATTCATTGTAAATGTTAAAGTTTTAATGAAATTGATAATATGGAACTCAAAATCATTTCGTAACGAGATTCTTCTTCTTTTGCAGAAATGTATTTTATTAGTCAAACAAAAATTCAATGTAAGGAATTAAAACCCGCAGCCATTTTTACAAAAAAAAAAAAAAAAAAAAAAAAAAAAAAAAACTTAAAATTGTGAAATACATAAAATGGGAAACTCAATCAAACAAAGGGTGAAATAATTTTATGTGCAGTATACATGATTCTTTTTAGATAGTTTCTCTCAATTATTAAAATTTAATTAAATACTACCAATAATCACTGTTGACCACATTTGTCTTTGGCAGTAAAGTTGTTCTGTTGTTGTGTTCGAAACCATATTAGAATTTTGGATCAAATTCACGTGTGCCTTGGATTCGAAGATTTAAGTTAACAAATAATATATATACATATATATATATATATATATATATATATATATATATATTTCATCATTATCCTCTAAAAGAAATTTATGCTTGCAAATTTTTATGAATGCCCCTGCAAAGTTTTTGATACAGTATTTTCTTTTACAAATTTGAGAAAGAAAAATAAGAGATGAGTTTCTAACTTTAATCGCCCTTTTTACTGTTATTTATTTATTTGTTTGTTTTATTGTTGAAATTAATTAATACATCAATACAAGTTAATAAAATCACGTTAATTTCTTTGAGTAACCACCCACTTCAACATACAGGTTACGGTGCTATTGATTTTTCTTTAGTAAAATTTAAACAATAAAATTAAAAACACATATTCAATCCTCAAAAGTTTGAGCACCAATGTGCTGGTCACTTTAACCATTTAATAAGCTAACACTCCAACATTTTAACATTAGCGTTCAATTCATAATTCCTTCTACAAAAACTTATATCATGTTCACACTTTTTTTTTTAAAAGTATTCAGATAATCCCATTCTCGTGCCAAAGCAATGAACAAAACCCAAAATTTGATGAAAAGAAATATATACATATATATATGCATTACAAAAAATACATAAAAGTTTGAAAATGGCATCCCGGAATAAAAGATCCATCCACATCCGAATTAATTAGCTACTTACAAAAATCTCACTTTAAACCGCAAAAATATCATATATTTTCTACTCTTAATCTAAAAAAAACACATATTAAATTATATAATTTTATACTCCACTTATGTTTAAAAATATGTTACGTGTTTGTAGCTGCCAGAATGGCAGAGAAAGTACAATCTAAGGTACAAACAAGAAGTACATTGTGTGACTATTTATTCCCTTTGAATAAACAAATACCCATAAATTGGAGACAAGTTTATCCATACATACCTCTCTCACCCTATTCTTATACGCCTACAGGTAGTTGTTCATACTTTTTAAAGTATTTTTTTAATATTTTCTATATATATACAAATATATTTTGAAGAAAAGGTTAAGTATTCAAGCTATGGCATGGCCCTTCGCAACCCCAAAATGAAGACATCCAATAAGTTAAAAAGGAGTTGGGATTTGCTATTGGAGCGATGTACGAGGGTCAACACCTCTCCCTCATAAATTACAAGTTGTGGGCTATAGTGCCAATCATGCTTTATTTGGACAATCTCAAAGTTTTAAATTCTAGTCCAAAATATCGTAAGCATAGGATATGATGTAGAATAAGACAAGAATAACAAAACAATAATATTAAAATTGTTCATCTTTATTATATATGTATATTCAAAAATGTTGTCATAAACAAAAGAGTATCTATATGCCAAGAGATGCCAAGTCTTTGTGGACTATTTCCCAAGTCTCCAAAGACTTGGCATCTCTTGGCATGACATACTAAATAAGACTATTTTTTTTTGTTTTCACTAAATATCTTCATACGTGTGTGTAAAGAGGAGGTTGCATGTTTGATTATTTGTCACTTTCTAAACCATTTTTACTGTGGCTCTTTGACTTGTAAAATCTTTAGAAAACAACTGGTCTCCCTGTTATGGTCTTAGGGCATTTATTTATCAAATTCCTCATTAGAGAATTTGATAAATATTTTATCAATTAAAAAATATATTTTCTCATCTTCTTTTCATGTTGTAGGGTGTATGTATGGTAGGCTTCTTGTGTGTCAAGTTTGTTTGTGTAAAGTAAATTGTCTCATTTATATGGTCATTTCAGATAGTTTGAGATATTTTCAACAGTTGCATTGAATATGAAGTTGGTGGCTCATAGAAATGGGCCATGATCTTTCTTTAACAATTTACACATTTATATGTTTTATTTTTATTTTAAATGTTTGAAGATGACATGCATGTTCACGTGCTCTAAGAGGCACAATATTGAGCAGTTATTCCCCAACCCAAAAATACTTTTATTTGTGTACATGTACATTCTCATACTTTTTCAATATAAGTTTCCCCAAAGCCACACAATACTGAAGAACATCGTCAGTTTTAATAAGAGTATTCAAAGAAGAAGAAAATAAAATAGATGTCGGGAAACAACGATTCCGTAAGAAATTTTATATTTTAAAACCGACGTTGATAATGGAAAACGTCCATGAGTGTTTGCAATATCCCGGAGTGTGTGTCACAATGGAATCTTTCCAAATAAATCATCTCTCATCACCCGATTATCGACTTCAACAGTAATAATAATGTTATTTTAAGGGGAAAAACATGCCTAGAATATACCCAACAAGCTGTTCTTCTATGTAGTAAACATGTCAAGCCATAGCCATCAAAAATGCACAAAACCACGAGAAATTAACTTCTCAACAATAATAAAAATAGTAGCACCACGATTCTCTAACTCTTCCATCAAATCAGAAGTTGGGGATTAGAATCTTATTATCTTGTTGCAAAACGACATTCCCTTATCTTGCTTTGTCTTGTAGCCTTACGGTAATAGGCCCCAAGCATTTTCAAGGCTCGGGCAGGGGGGTTATTGGGCCATAGAGGAAATTTCATCTTGGGCAGACCATCTGCCCAGAGGAGAAACTTTTATTTTATTTTGCTTTGTCTTTTAAATTATTTGATTGGCGGGTTCTTCCTCCGAGTGCGGTGGTCAGCTCAAGCCGCCGCCGTGGACGTGAAAATCCGTCTCCATCGCGGAGTTTCGGTGCCCGCATGGTCGATGTGTGAGGTCACCATGGGCATCTGCATCGATTTAACGATGTGGGTTCCGGATGGTTGTGGGTTTTGTGAGATGACGGGGGCGTGGTAATTTGTCCCACAGGAACTGGTGTAACGGGGGGTTGGCGTCTCACAATCATTGTGCCCTTGAGAGCGTGAGATCTAAAGGTTTGTCGTGGACATCGATCGCCTTTGAATGATAGAGCCCCCGAATCGTAACGAAATACGTTCTGGGTATTGCTTGTCAAGAGCCTGTCGCTGTGACAGGGAATTTTTTGGGGTTTTCTTGGGGGTTTTAGTGGGTGGTTTTTGAGTATGTTATTTTTTTATTTTTGTGAAAAATAAACGGAGTGGCACTGTGGATTTAGCGTTGTTAATTTTATTGTGTACCCAAAAGTGGAGAGCCCGGAGGAACCGGTCCGTGACAGAAACAGGGGAGCGAGAAGCGGTGGCGGAGCCTACGGGCTTCCACATCTCGCTGCCGCTTTTAAAAGGCGTTATCCTGCGTTGTTTCTCTTGCCACTGCCCCATTGCAAATTCTCCTTCTGCGGGTGGATTCCCTCCCGTTACTGAGCTTGCGAACTGAGAGAGTCTTGTTGGGGAGATCTTGATGAGAGCTCTCCAGTTAGGCTTCTCACGACCTCCCTGGGCAGGCGTCTCACGACCTCTGTGTGTGTGTGGAGCCTGGCTTCTGTTTGCTGTTCATTACACAGCCGTTGTCTTCCTTGGCATGCAGGGTTTTGACGAGGGAATCCGTTGGGCATGTTGCGGACGTTAAGGATGGGTCACATGGATCTTTGAATTCAGTCGAAGTCGTTGTCACGAAGGTCGTCCCCTAATTCAAGAGTCGCGCAGCTGGAAAACATCTGGAGATAGACATTTGTAAGTGCATCGCCTTTTTCTATTCTTGTTACCATGGAATCCAGCATTAGTATATGTAGTCGTCGGGCGCTTTAAATGCTGCAATCCCTACTGTTTACAGTGGCGCATGTGCGATTTTATGCGGTGCATTCCTGGTGTGCATTTGTGGTAGAAAAACTCCTAAGAGTTTGTCATATGAGGCTTGCAGGGACTGACTGATGTTTCTATTTGTTAGAGTGTAGTAGTTTATATCCTCGCATTATCAAAAGTACAACGCAAGGAACTGGGCTATTTTAGAAAGCCATTCAGTAATGTACAGTTTGCGTAATCGACGGGTTTCTCAATGTACCACCCCGGATGTTGACTGTCATTCAATTCAAATAGGTAAATGTATGAGATTAAGCTCGGTTGTTAGCCTGAAGAGGACTCACATCTAAGTCCATGATTTGTCAACATCATCACGCTGATCTGTGACTCGCTGCTTGTTCTCCCCGCATATAGACTCGTTGATTTCCGTTATGTCCTATTTAAGATCATGACGAGGATTGGAAAGCTGTAGAACTTGTATTCGTATCTCGTACAACTCCTTCTGCACAATAGCAACTGTTGCTTTTCGCAGTGAAGTAAGAGTTGCTATGATGAGGAAATCTAGTCAGGTCCAGTTTGCAGGTATGCTTATTTATGAATCTTCGCCGTTGGCGAGTGCCACGGGTGCCCATTTGTGTGTGTAGTGACGTTAAGATGCTCTAGAGATAAAAGATACTTGTGGATTTTTTATTTTTTATTTTTTATTTTTTGTGGAGTATGCATGCCCAGCAGCGTAATTCTCAAAATAAGACACCTTCGAAGTGGGTACGATGGCTGTAGATTACGGGACGAGATGACAGATTCGAGATGGTTGTTGTTTAATTTGCATGTTAATCCGTGAAGTACTGTTTTCCAACTTCTGTGCAAGATCTGGCCATTGGAACATGCGTCTCTGATGCGTTCCATATTGTGTTTGTAGAATCGGGATGACGAATAATGGGAACATATCTACTGGCGAGGTGGTGGTCGTTACTCCCGCGAGGGAAACCTTCAACATAGAGGACGGGCAGCGAGAACCAGGCCATGTGGTGGTTCTGGGACCAATCGACAATGACAGCGACAATGCGAAAGTCCCTCGCATCTCCGCTGCCGATGGCTCCACTCCCGAAAGAGAGGCGCTCCTCTCAGGATGGCGCCGGCACAACGACGTCGCGTCGTTGCAAGAGGTGAACTCTTCTATTAATGTACCCGAGGGGGCATGGTACAAGAAGGCGTTTGCCTTCGCTGGCCTCGGAATCATGGTCAGCGTTGCATACATGGATCCTGGAAATTGGGCTACGGGTCTCAACGGAGGTGCTGCGTTTGGTTACACACTGCTCTCGGTCATTTTGCTGTCGAACTTCGCAGCTAATTTCTTCCAGTTCATGTCTCTGAAGCTCGGCATTGTGGCGGATCGTGACCTGGCCCAAGCATGTCGCGACGCTTACCCCAAGTATGTGGTCTATGTCCTGTGGGTGATGATGGAAATTGCCATCGCCGCGACTGATTTGGCGGAGGTGATTGGTTCAGCCGTCGCAATGAACCTCTTATTTGGCCTTCCTCTTTGGGCCGGCGTGTTGATTACAGCAGTGGACACAATGATCATCCTCGTGTTCGGAACTCGGAGTTTCCGAAGCTTGGAAGTTCTTGTCCTCCTCCTCTGCTTACTCATCGCGGGGGTGTTTGTCTACGAGCTCATCGCCGTGAAGCCAGAGTGGATCAGAGTAGCCAAGGGCCTGTATCCTAAATCCGAGATCATCACAAATCCTGACATCCTCTACAACGCTATCGGTATCCTCGGCGCCACTTGCATGCCCCATAGCTTGTTTCTCCACTCGAGCATCATCCAGACGCGAGCCTATCCTCGCACAAAGCAAGGCAGGAAAATGGCTCTGAAATACGGCACATGGGACTCGTGCTTTTCCTTGACATTTGCCTTCTTCGTGAATGCATCCATCTTGATCCTTGCCGCTGCGGCTTTTCACTACGGTCCCTACGCCAACCGTGAGCTTGCCAACCTCAGTGACGCATACAAGCTCCTCGCACCCGCTTTGGGAAACAACGCCGCAAAGATTCTTTTTGGGGTGGCGTTGCTTGCTTGTGGCCAAAACTCAACCATCATTGGCACATTGTCTGGCCAAGTCGTCATGGAGGGGTTCCTCAGAATTAGAATCAAGCCTTGGCTTCGACGCTTCGTCACCCGGTCGATCTCCATTATACCAGCTGCCATTGTCGCGGCTATCGGGGGCAACAACGGCGCGGGGCGTCTGCTTGTTCTCAGTCAGGTCATTCTGTCCTTCACTTTGATCTTTGCCGTCGTCCCCTTGGTGCATTTCACGAGCTCCCCTGCCAAGATGGGTAGCTTCGTCAACAGCTGGGTTGCGAGAATCTGTGCATGGACCATTGCAGCGATTATCGGCAGTCTCAATGCATACCTCGTTATCCAAAGTATTCGCCAAGGGTCTTTCGGGCAAGCCGGCCACGTTTGAGACATAAATTATGTACGTCGACGTGGTTTGAGCCTATGTAGGTGCTCGTCGAAACAGATGAAATGTATCTTCCCACGAGCTAATCCTAAGTTTCAGTTTGGGGCGTACGCACACTTCTGTTATTCAATGACACGGAATACTCTCCTTTTTCCCCCTTCTTCTTTTTCCTTTTTCGTTTCGTTTGACCCGGCCTCTGAAACGCCAGAGAAGAGGTTGCCCAAACAACTCCACACAGTGATCTAAAAGTTGTCGATCAACTGTTGCTGTACAAGCAAAGCCGGAGCCCAAGTTTCCAGTCCCCCAAGTTTCTCTTGTGAATGTACCCTCTTTCGTTACAGTCTGTTTGAAGTGACGAATTTCTGTTTGTACCTTCATGCATTCAGACTGGGTTGACCTTTGCGGTACATGCGCGGATACCTGCTTTACGGATGCACGAGACAGGAGCTAGCCTTATCTTGTGTCGTCTAGCATCTGGCATAACATTTTGTGTCTCATTCCCTGGTCCGCCAGTGGTGTAGGTGACGTAGCTCTTAGACCGAAGACTTTGTCCTGTAACCTCAAGCTTGGCATCAAAATACCTCCCGAGCAATGTCGCTGGAAAGAGGTCTAAGATCTTTGGAGCTGTTGGGATGAATCCTCAGTCGGGGATTGCGTGCTTCCCCTGGAATTACACTTGAGCTTCATTCGAGCTAGAAATAGCTTGTTTTATTCCTATAATATGTTCTCTAGGCTCAGCCACGAATGTGCAAGTGTTGTACATCGGCGATGATAATATCTTGTGCTGCCCGGAACTCTTTTATCTTTATTTTTTCTTGCTTTGCTTACAGTGTATCCCAGAAAACGTTGTGAGATTGTTGGGTCTGTTGCCGTGACCTTTGCTCGGCCGTTGTTTTTCAATCACCACCACTTGGACATGCGGGTGTTTGTGCCTTTAGAAAAAAGTGAACAGATATGAAGATAGAACTTTTTCTTCGAATAACACACTGATTAGCAGAAAAATATTGTTCTCGTCAATATGAATAGAGAATGAGTATAATATGAAACGAAGACTATTGATTCTTGAAAGAGCATATGTTCCCGCAAATCAATGGTGAATTATCATGTACCCTCTTCTCAGAAACAAATGGAAAGAAGATAAAAGTTTTTTATGTTTTAATTGTGGCACTAATGTGTGAAGATGCTTTGAATTGTACGGTAACTGTGACAGAACCCAGAATAATAAACACACAATGTAATCACGTTCTCATCCTGATATTGAATCTTTAAAATGTTAAAGAATCTTTCGAGAGTGTTTCAGAATGCATCGTTAAATAAAAACATGAATTAAAAATCAATTGAGCATTTTTATAAAATATGCAAAAGAATCAATATAATCAGTTTTCAAAGATTTTTTACAAATTTTGATGCTAACAATTACTATGTACGGGTGGGCCATCGACAAATTAGAAAGTGTTTAACGCACGTTACACAAAAGTTACGATTTGCAAGATTCTATGGACACGAAAGAGTGCTTTTACAAAACATTGTTAGACATCAGATATTTTAAAAGATATCCCAGTCTACAAAAAAGTCTTCCAACCTTTATATTCTTTTGCATATCTTGTTCACTTCTGAACAAACACCAGCCATCCAACCATTCATCCATCCAAATGCTAGTGAATATACTTTATTTCTGAAACGTTATATCAATAAGATGCATTTATAAAGGAAATTATGTGCAGAGGGAGAGAGAGAGAGAATGTAGATTCTTTTTCAAAATTCTTCAAATAAATTGCTGATCATGAGTCTGATTTGGAACTCACAAAAAAAATCTATCCTCAACTATTATTCCTGCGGTCTGCTCATATTCACGGCTATGAATAATTTGCAACCTCCATAAACTTATGATTTTGGGAGAACAATGTGAGAAGAAAGTGTGAACCCTGCCAGTTTGAATGGGCGAGACACCGAGAATCCTATTGTGGAGCAGTACACGGTTTCTGACCAACTATCTATATCCTAGAACCAGACATGAGAACAGGGTACCCGAGGCAGAAGATATCCGGATAGGGCGTCGACCCATGGAAACCGGGTGTCAGTGAGGTTATCAATCCCGGTAAGGGGAGGATTGAATCGAGACGAAAGGGGTTGGTGTTGAGATTGCAGCACCATCGCACATCGTAAAGGCTGAGAGCTTCTTATCTTCTTTCGTCGACAATCTGCGAGAAAGCGAGCAAAATATCAGCCCCCGATTCGATCCAAGGGTAACGCTGCGTTCGTGCTTGGTGACGAATTGTGCGGTCCACTTTCGCTGTCCAGAATGCGCGCTTCGTTTCTCGCTTTTTGTCCATCTGCGGGCGCGAGGTTTAGTGCGAGATGAGTTGATATTCAAGAGTGCGAACTGTATTGTTTTCGATGAATTGAGGCCGGGGCGGCTCGTCGGGAGTTTGTTGTTGGAGTAGGTTGTGTTGTTGATTCATTCCTCCAGCTATGGCGACCGCCGTGTCCAAGCTCCCCACTCTACATCTTCACTCCGCGTTGGGAACAATTCCGTCGGTGGAAAGTAGTAGTAGCAGTTCGGTCTCTACAGCGAGGTTTTATGCCAGGCGCAATCTGACCTCGCTCTCTAGCTTAATTCCAGCTGGTTTGAGCCGTGGCTCTGTCGGTTGTTGCAAGAGACGGAGCTGCGTAACTGTGTGTGCTGCTGCTACTCCAGCTGCTGAGAGTTCGAAGACATCGACGGATCGCGATGACCGTGTGGTGCAAATTAGTAGCGTGGAGCAGTTTGAAAAGGCTCTCAAGGACGCTAAGAACAGGCTTGTGGTGGTGGAGTATGCAGGTCTGAAAAGTGTCAATAGTAAGAAGATATACCCAGCTATGGTGGACCTAAGTAGGACGACCCAGACTGCCGTGTTTTTGCTCATCATGGGGGATGAGAATGATGACACCAAGGAACTCTGCAAGCGCGCTGGTATTGAAAAGGTATCTTCGACGTAACTCAGACTAGGAAATCGAGATTGAGGAGCTCTGCTTTTACAAGTTTATTCGAAAAGTTTCTTGTCCTAATAGTTTTACTACTTTTTCTTTTCTTTCTTTTTTTTGTTTGTTTCATCCAGAGACGTGTCTGTTTTTATGTCGTGTTGGGGTTGTTGAGGTGGGTTGATGAATTTGGATGGTCATTCTTGATTGAATGTTTTGCCGTCGACTGAGTACATGTTATGTAGTCATCAATTTCACGCAGCATGATACATCTGTCATGCCTTCGCCAATTAGGTCCTAAATACGAGAAGCTCTGCTTAGTGGCAGACTAGAGGTTCGGATGTTACGCACCGTTTGAAGCTCTTTCTCACTGGCAGTCATTGTTAGGGACTGCTGGTGGATAGTCAGCTCGGCATTGAACGGGAATTTCGCACATAATCGAAATTGTGTGCTTGTATAGAGAAATCTTATGGCTCTTACTTCGAGAGCGTATGTAATAGTCGAATTAGAGACTTCGTCCTGGAAATGTGCAGTATCTAGGGAGGTAATAGGGATGGATATAATTGATATTATCAGCTTTCGGCCATCTCCGACTGTGGCCTCAGACATGCTTATGCTTCTTAATTGGGAATATTTATTTGCAGATATTTGCGGGGTGGGGGGGGGGGTGCCGTGTAATAACTGGTTTATTTTTGTGCCGAGTCGTCTTGGTTCAGGGTGATTTATGTAGTGCGTTTCCGAGTTGGAGATTAGCAAGGTTCAGGAAGTGGGGAAAATTCTCGGAGAGAACTATGTGTGAGAGGTTTGTTGATGAGGAAGTTCGTTCCAGGAAGGCTTTCTAGTAGTACAATCCTCATCAGAGCACCTCTATGAGTACTCATTTTCACATGTTCTTGTATCTGAAATCTCGTTAAGTGTACACTGAAAAAGCTTTGTGTAAGTTTCGAACCAGTCCCAACACTTAGTGAAACGCACTTGGGTTTTCTAATTGTACATCTTTTGGATGGATTTGCATAGGTACCTCATTTTACATTTTACAAGAACCAGGAAGTTATACACGAAGAGGAGGGTATTGACGCAGAGCAGCTGGAGAATGATGTTTTGTACTATGGGGACCCAGATGCGCCAATCCACCAACTCCATGGTCGGGAAGATTTTGAATCACTACTTCGAAAACACAAAACCGACGATAAGTTGCTTGTCATTGACGTTGGCCTTAAGAACTGTGGCCCTTGCGTGAAGGTTCGTTTAAGTTCTGTTTTTCTTCCCACCCCTGTAGGCTAGTCCTGCTTTTGAAGTCTGTATGCTCGTTTGGAGACCTAAATTGGCGTTCTGACCTTTTTTTTGGAAATGGCGTTGTTTTGTTTCTCAGGTGTACCCCACGTTCATTAAACTATCGAAGCGTATGGCAGACTCCGCAGTTTTTGCAAGGTTGCATGGCGATGAAAGTGAAGACTGCCAGGAACTGCTGAAGTTGATGGGTGTCGTTGAGGTTCCGACCTTCCTCTTCGTTAAAGCCGGCAAGCTCTTGGGCCGCTATGTCGGTTCTGGGAGAGGATCCCTCATTGGTGAGATTCTGCGACACCAGGGTGTACGCGTGACCTAAGATGTGTTCACTCGATGCATTCTCTTCCCCCTACAATTCAACACAGGAATTCGCATTGAAAGAATCAGCAAATTCGAATGGGATCTCTTCACCTAATGGAACTTACATTTGCTCAACAGACACTGCCATCTAAGTGTAGGGTTACTTATATATCGAAATCGTTGAACTTATCCAAAGAGATGCTGACACGAACTGGGAAGGTTGCTACATTAATCTATCATGGGGGGATATCGTAACGTGTGTTTTATTATTAAATGTTACCATCAAGGTGAAACGGGGACCTTCGTTGTCGATGAGAAATATGCCAGACAATGTACCACTCAATTTTCCAATGACAGGCACCAGTTTTGCATATTAGAACGATGGTAAAGATTACACCTGAGCGTGATTGTGTTTTCTCAGCTGCAATGGATTGTGAAGACCTCTACCAAACTCTTAAATCTTTTGTTGCCCTATTTCCAGCAACAAAGTCCGAGCAAAGTTGGGGTAGAATCTGTCAATGTGTAGGGTGTTTCTTCCTCCGAGGCACTTGTATGATATTGCAACTGCAACTGTTCTGTAGCTCTGATGGTGTGCTGTAATACTCTACCACCTGCCAACGTGTCTTGCATGGTTTTCGATGAATTGTAAGTTAAAATCCCCACTTGTCATAATATATAAACGAATTGGCCTAGAGATGGATAAGGCTTGTGGCAACTGAGATTCTTATCGATAAACAAAACACGTGGTTTGGACTTGTTGATACGTAGTAAATATTGAGGATTTCTACAAATGTGTGACATGTTTCATACGAAATTGATAATTGAGTCGTCAGTTTTGTATTCTTCTAATTAGTGTTTCTGAAAAACTTGTGAGTGCACACATGCCTACTTATTAGGAAAAACAAAGAATTAAATGCAAATGTGTGTAGGGATAGATCATAAATATTTTGCACTTCGATGCCACTGTTTGTGGTTGAATAAGTTGTGGAGTCATTACGTTTGAAAGGTACAGAACTAACTGAAAATGACCTTGATTGACACCATTTTTTTTAATTTTGTTTTTTTGTATTTGGTTATCTAGCTCTAGTAGTTTTTGTATAATTTTAACAAATAAAATCAAAATTAAACGATTAAATCTTCTAGTACCAACATGTAATTATATATACTCTTAAATACTTTAAGTTTCAAGGATTCAAAAACAATTGTTGTTAAACGTCCTAGTTATTTTGTTTGCAAATATACATTTGTAACAAAGCTGTATGTCAGTTTTATTTCACTTTTTGAATTCAATTTAAATAATTCCTAGAATGCAATGCATGTACTATATTAAAGAAATATTCTTAAAACTTGATTGGATAATTTGTACAAATTGATTTTAGAATGAATTTTGTAATGAAGAGACTTAAATAAGTTATTTAATTGATTATTTTTGTTGAAACTTATTTAGTTTTAGGTGTGAAAGCTTCAAATAACTATATTGTACTTTTAATATTATAGTGAAAGGAAGATATTCTTCTTTGTTAAGAAGTTGATTTGGTCTAGGATTTAAGCACTTTTGTAGTCCATATTTTTCTAATCTAAAATATACTAAAGTTGATATTTTAATTCACTAATATGTATACTAAATTGTAATATTTTATTTAGTCAAGCAATAAACCAACAATATATATATATATATATATATATATATATATATATTCCTTCATAAAAGCAAAATAATTTTTAGACCAATATAAAAAAAAACCTCATACCCTTCCTCCCATCACCAAACAAACAAAAAAAAATAAAGAGAGGAAGTGAAAGAAAGAAAGAGGCCCAAACTTAAATACACTCTATATCTTCTTTCAACCTCATTTGTTGCTTCCATGCCTAATGGATCCATATTTCAAACATTTTCAAATGCTATTGTGTTGTGGTTTGGTTACTATGTGAAAATATTGTGTTATATGTTTGATATGCAATTTACTAAGTAACATGGTAAAAGCCATGCTAGTAGATTTTAATTGGTTATAGAATGTAGTTAAACTACTACTTTAAAAGGAGGTTATTTAAAAGAATTACTATTAGAATTTACATAACTTTATTTTCTTTTGATAGTGGCTTTTATGATTAATTTTAGTTGATAATAACTTTTACATATTTAAAATCACCTTCATTAGATATTAGTGACTCTTGAAGTCTTATTTTGTTTCTTTTATTTTATGTTTAGGGCATATATTATATAAATCTTATTAGAAAAAGTAGCAAAAAGAAAAATTAGGGCATGCATATGGATACATGGAGATGGATGATGAAAATCTCCATTTCTATTGACCAAAAATTATGCCCAATGGACTTCAAGGAGGCTGCCTGAGGTTTTATAAAGGAGATATAGGTGCTTAAAGTTAAAGTGTCAATTTTGTATCTATTGTCACTCTTTTGGACATAACACGCTCGTTCAGAAAGCAATGAAGGATCAACAACTAGGATTGAAGAGAGTTTTTTTTTTTTTTTTTTTTTTTTTTTTGTTTACAACACTTTTTGCATACTGCTTGATGAATTCTAAGCTAGGATGAAGGAGTTATAGGAAGTTGAAGTCAGCGCAGTAAATAATCTAATTTACTAGTAGTTGTGTTTTGAACTATATCTTGAGCAAATTTGAAAAGATTTTGGTTCAACATTTTCAAGAATGTATATAATCATGTTAATAAACTTTGTGTACAAATTTTGTGGCATTTGAGATTTAAGTTTTTGAGATATGAAGAAAATAGTACTTGGGTGCTTGTAAGTTAGGGTTTAGAGCACTTGCTAGGGTTTCTAAGATGCCAAAAGATCGGTAGCAAATTTATGGTTCATTATTTTTTATAGTAAAGCTTAAGGATAATAGCTACATTATATAAATATTTTAAAGAAATTTAATAGTTAAATCAAGAGATATAAGATTGTAAAGTTCGGGAAAAAAAAATCCTTTATTCAAAAAAAAAAAAAAGAAAAAAAGAAGTTGTAAAAGGGTTTTATTATACTTTTGGTTTTCTATTATGGTTGGAAAAGAAGGAAATGGTAGTGGGAACTCTATTGGGGCATCACCATTGCAGCTTGATTTTGCTATAGCTCAAATGTTTCAAGCATTTGTTTTTTATATGCAGCAATAGCAAGCAATGGAACGTAAAGAAGCAATGGCTATTAAAGCCTTACAATCTGATGTTGGTTTATTGGATGAGTTTGATAGAAGAAATATTTCTAAGTATCTAAAATATTGTTTACAGATTGAAAATCACACCACACAACAATGCACTCAACAGTGAAGGAGTAGGACAAGTAGGAGGAAGAGGACACATGATTGGTGGTTTGTTAAATTATAACTCTAAGCTAATAGTCATGTGCATCATTCATAGTGTCCATTGTGGCAAAATAAATGACTATTCCTAGCATGGTTGCCAAAATGTTATTCCGGAGGTGGTGATGGTCAGAAATATATTATAGAATTATAATAATAAAATATTGACACATCCAAGATGTATATGTTACCTTTGGTGTAATACTTTTATGCAAACACCACAATGTTTACAAGTACATTAGACTTAATGAATTAATACTTTCTTTTTTATTCATTCAAGTAAAATATTACATAATTTTGTCCAGAGAGAATGCTTGTAGAACTTGACAAACTAGTGCATTGTATGCTATAATATTGACTATTAAACATCTAAATTCCAAAAAAAAAAGAGAAAAAAAGAGTGTCCTTCTGAGGGTATTTATAAAGCCTAAAACTTTTTTAATCACCATTTTTATCCTACTTTTGCAACAATGCTACTAACTAGTTACTAAAATGGTTTTTTATTGTTGTGACTTTATCCGATCTTCTTACTATATTGAAATACAATAACCTTCTTTGTCACAACTTTTTACTTAAATTTTTTGTTGACATCATCTGTAGACTTGATAATGGAATATTAATAACTAATATTTAATTCATAAAATTTTAAGTAAATAAATTAATAAATATAAAATACTAGATCTTATTAGAATTAATACTTAAAAAAAAATTTAATGTTTATTTGTTCAAAAGCATGGATCAGTAATATATATAAATATAAATATATATATATATATATATACACACACACACACACACACACACACACATATATATATATATATATATATATATATTTTAAAAAATGAAAATTCACTGAGAAAAATCCCAATTTTAAATTCAATTCATGCAAAACACCAAATAAAAATCATAAAATCCATCTCTTAATTATCATTATTAAAATCTACCAATAATATTATTCAGAATATCAGTACAATTTTACATAATAATAATAACCCTAATAATAATTATAAAAATATCATATACTTGCACTCCAATTTTGAAAACTTGTAACTAGACACCCAATTTCTCAATACGTCGAAACCTCACCCTCCCTCACCAAACAAAGAGAGAGAGAGGCGCCGAAGGGCACTCCTCTCCCAATCTCGTTTGTTGCTCCATGGCAAGGGACTCGCATTCAAACATTTTCAAACGCGCTAAACAGTGAACGAGGAGGACGAGGACACACGACCACCGCCTATCACCGGTTTTGGCGGATGCGGGAATTTGAACAGAGCGCCGTAGCAGGGTGGAAGCTTCCCTGGGGCTGCCCTGAAATCAGCAGCTAGCACCCACTCGGCTCGGCCAAACCCAAAGGAAGGCAGCAAGCAAGCAAACAACGTAACGCAAAGCAAAGCAGCACCGAAAGGAAAGGGAAGGAAACGGGAAGAAGAAGGGGAGAGCATCAATCAGCATCGGGACCCGCAGCCAGCAGCAGATCAGTAGTGCATTCATATTTCTGTTTGATTTGATGCCCCTCCCCCCTACTCACTCCCTCCCTCCCTTCACCGGCATTCAGATAGATAGATGCCCACAGCGAGAGAGAGAGTGGCGCACCTCCTCCGCCGTCAAGGTTGTCTGTCTGTCGCCTCCTCTTGCGTTTCTCTACCTTTCTGCTTGGGTCACACATTGTATGGCGGTTTGTGGGTGGGTGCTCTTTGGGCTGGTTTCGCTTAGGGTTCTTCTACCTCCTCGTGCGGAGGTGCGGGTAATTGTGGGTGTCGGAGTTTGAAGGGATTTTGGTTCTGGGTTGTGCCCACTTGGACTGTTGAGCGCCGGAGCCCGCTGTCTCGAAGGCCAACATTGTGGAGTATATTTTGGTCTTCGTATTTGGTTTCGCTCTGGGTTTTGTTTTGGGCTCCGATTCTGTTGAATGGTGCTCCAAGAGATGGGTTTGGAGATGTACCAAGTGTTTAGATTGAATAAGCAGGGCTATCAACTGAGTGATTTTATGGTTAGTGGACACGAACGTCGTTTTTTTAGGTTTGGGAAGTTAGTGCCCTGAGACCGCTGGATGAAATGTCTGTCTTCTCTGCTTCCTGGACATGTGGGTTTTTTTTTTTTTTTTTTTTTTTCCTCCCCATTTACGATGTCTAGGAATTGAGGCTTCGTCTCTTGTTCGCTTGTCGCATTTGATGCGTTTGACGTGATGCATTCGTTGCTAAATGTAGCAGAGACTGTTGTGAGCACATGTGGTTGCTTCTTGTTAAGTTGGGTTTGATAGTGTTGAGCATGCGTCCGATGATGCGTGCCGAATTTTAGTGTTGATGTTATTTATAGTTGCGAAGGGTGTAGCCAGTAGCATGGTTTGTCCAATTCATTTATTTGTTACTATTATTATCGTCAAATTTATTTTGGGGGTGGGGTGGGTAGATGCGGCGCAGTGTAATTGATGTGATCACACACAGAATTTTGTAGAGCAACTTCATGAAGGGTGGTGATGTTTCTCGTGCGTGAGCAGACGAAGCTCTAGTGGTCTTCGTTGTAGCTCAACTGTTTTTTGATGTACAGATGCAGGGATAGTGTTGCAGTTGCTTGCCAAGAGGTAGCTGTGCATCGTGGAGCTGTAGCATAATTCGCAGTGATTGGCAAATCTCCAATGTGGTGGGACCAACAGGGGGCTCAATCCCACTACAAGGATTCAATGTGTTTTCGTTAATGGCCTCAGTCAAATGGATTTGGTGGATTTCAAGCACAGAGACTCAGATTCCCAGAGCTTGATCACTATCTGCAATTATATTTAATTCATACTCGCATCACCTTGACTATACAATTTAGGAGATTGGTCAGAAGATTTGAGTCCTTCGTGTACACACATACTGGGACACAATGGTGAGCAACGGTATTGACGCCCGGCTCTCACACCTTGATGATCCCGATTCTCCAGATGCCGAAGTAATTGGGTGAGTGGTGATGGGACCTCATTCTGCACCTGGGATTATGCATGGGGAGTTTCGGTCATTGGTATTAAAATCTCTAGAATATGTTAGAATGGTGGAAGAACTTTTCACTTGGTACTTTGGAATTCCGTGATTTTGTGATTCTGATCAGTGTTTTACCACTGCTGTATTGACTATCAATTTGTTAGTGACCAACATCAGTCCCACAATTGCACTGGGTCACACGTAAGTTGTGTAGGGTTATTAATTTGTTGGTCAAGGTTCGATGATGCTTCTTGGGCGGTTCGACTGAAGATCGAGGTTATGGTTAAGATTCAAGTAATTAGTTAATGTTGCTTGATTGTGATCTATTGCTCCACTCTTCCATCAATGCTGTTTTATGGTCAAATTCGCTGAGGGATGGTGTGTTTCTGTTAAAAGAGGAAAGAAAAAACGAGGTGGAAGGGCAGGTGGAGGAGAGAAGGGTGGAAAAGGTCTTCGGCACTTCAGCATGAAAGGTGACAGCCTATTCTTTGATTTTTTTTTTTCTTTTTTTTAATAGTTTTCTTCCGGTCAAGACTTAGAAGGAAGTGATAGTGTCTCCATGTCCTCTAGTTTAATCGTGTCGTTCCATTGACTATGCTAGGTTTTTCTTCCTTCTTACCAGTGATAAAAGCTGCTAGTGTCGAGACGTAGCTATATATTTAGGGTCTGTGAAGCCGTACAATGGATTCTCTTGAATTACACCTTTTCAACATGGCGATCTTCTATCCTCATTGCTTGGGAATGAATCAGTATGCGAAAAAGTGGAAAGCAAGGGGCGGACCACTTACAATGAGGTAAGGTCATGACTCGTGCTTTTGAAGTCATTCGTTCCATTAGGATTGCAGCAAGTGTATTGTCAAGTGTCAGTTCTTCGACACTACTTCTGGTTGAAATACTTTGTACTCTTTCCGAATTCGGTGTTATGGGCTGCCAATATGTCTTTGGTTGGGTTTAAGGCTTAGCTCTTCTTGGTTTTGACCCTCTGTAAACCGTTCATTCCCCGTCACAGGTGGCAGATGAGTTAGTTGCCGAGTTTACTAATCCAGACAGCCCTCACGTCTCCCCTGATCAGGTGTGTAGAGCTGTTGATCTATCAGTATGTGGATTTTGATGTTGTTTGTGACGCCCTTGCGCCTAGTTATTTATAATTGAGTTTGCATCAGTGTGCATCCTTATTTTGAATCAAGTTAACCTGTAGGTTTAGTGGATGGTAGGTAGTTCCTGTGGCATAATCACGACAATTAAATAGTTTTCAGAGGAAATTGTTATCGAATGATGTAGACTTAAACATAATTAAAATCATGATTAGAATGCCCGAAATGCAGCAATTCGGTCACGCCGGAGGTTGTTCTGGGTGCGATGTTGCAGAATTGCGACTCTTCCCAAAATAATGAATGTCTCCTCGATGATTTCTCTGTCTCTTCATGGATTTAACATTATTGGTGTACTTCTTTGGCAGCAACAATATGATGAGAAGAACATTCGGCGGCGTGTTTATGATGCCCTTAATGTCCTCATGGCTGTGGGTATAATTTTGAAGGACAAAAAAGACATTCAGTGGAAGGGGTTTCCGTCTGCCAGCCTTGACGATGTTGCAGATCTGAAGGTGACTTGGGCTTTGTTAGTGCTTCTACGCTCTATTCAGCTTTTATTCCTCTAGTTTTCAAATTGAAGTTTGATCGCATCATACCCTTTTGGATGTGATGATCTGAATAACCTTGATTTTTTTAATGAGGGTATCCACGTTGAAAAAGAGTTTGACCAACTGCCTCAATAGCCGCGTTGAGGATAAGATGAGTCCTTTAAAACTAATGGTGGATGCGTGCAGGCTGAAAGCATGCGGATCAGAGGAAGAATCGAGCGTAAATCTGCCTATCTACATGAATTACAGTCTCAGGTACTTCATTATTTTAAAATTGTTCTAGTTTGTGAAGTTTACCGAAGGTTTGTTGTTCTCATTTAAGGTGGAATTTTGCTGCTGAGTAGCTGTAATATGTATTGTAGCGTTTGCCATGGGTGATTTTAGTTGAAATATCTGAATAGATTGATGATACCTGCTCTGATTAATTGGTGATTAAGTTGACTGTTGATGTTTAAATGGCTAAGCTGCTACGAAATAAGTTCTTGTGGATGTGGAACCACTCATTTAAGGTGGAAGATTAATCAATGAGACCTCCATTTAGCAACGTGCATTTTTGTCTGTTGGTCCGTTTGCAGATGACTGGCTTGCGTAACCTGGTTTCTCGCAATGAGCGACTTTCTCAGGGAAACAACTCAGTTCCGCATGTGGCACTTCCATTTATTCTTGTGCAAGTATATTGCCAACTCTTACCTGAACTTGTTCGACCAATTTGTTCGATATTGGTCTCCGCATCAGTCTGTCTCTGTACTGGATAAACTTTTCATTGTGCAAGGCTTTAGTAACCATGCCGTCTTTGTTTTGCCTTCAATTGCTTTATTTTAATTTTTTTGTACGGCTTATTCTAAGTGTCAACGCATCATGGTGGTTTTTTTAGACGTGAACTGACTAATCAAAGCTTTATTTTTGGGTGCAATGAGGTTGGATGTCTTTACTCTTTCGTGTGAAATTGGAATTCTGTTTTTGAAGTTTTGGTGGGATTGATCAACAGACTCGACCGCAGGCTACTGTGGAAGTAGAAATTTCTGAGGACATGCAAGTTGTGCATTTCGATTTCAACAGGTCTGAAATTCTTAATATCTCTTGTTTCATTTTTGGTATAAAAATCCATCCTCACAATTCATGTGCAATGTGCTTCTATGATACCGAAGTTCTATCAGCTTTTGCCTGCTCAACTTTGCAAGCCAGTGTTCTTACTAATTGTTGATGATATGTATGAGCTGGAAGGAGCCAGGCTTTGGGTGGCATATGCTACCTCTTTATCTGGCCAAAGTCTTATTGAACGAACGATGAATTATTGCAGTACACCATTTGAGCTTCATGACGATGCATATGTCCTCAAGGCAATGAACTTGCAAGAACAGCCGGATAGTAATTGCCCAGATGGGTTGGATCATGCCGACTTCGATGATGGGCTCGGCAATTTTGGAGAGGATTCCCCGCCGCTCTCTGGCGTATTTCAGCGTTCAATGTATCCTGCTCATCCCAGCTCCCCTTATTATGCCTCTATGTCCAGTGCTGGTAAAAATTCGTCTTGGCCTCCCGTCCCAGGTATTCTAAAATCCAAGGTGAAGCATGAGAATGCCTCATAGTGGTATTCATGTTGAGAAGTGGTGGTTTGAAAACAAATAGGTACACCTGTAGAAAGGACCTCTTAGAACTTGATTAGTACTCTGGCCACAAAGCCTGACTTTTCGTTTTAATGTATTGCACCACTAACCATTGATATTTATTTGAGCATAGAGTAAGATTTGCCTCAGCTAACCCCCTGCAAAGGAGCTGTACAATACATGAATAATAGAATGATTCTTTTGCGAAAGTAATTATCTCCAAGCGCTTTGAAACTTTTGATTTCTTAGATCCCCTTATCGTCCTGTCATTACCTGCAGCTTTGATATTTAGGAACATGATTTTGGACACCGCGGCTCTTACTTCGTATCCCTTTCTTATGTGTTCACGAACCGGGCTTCTTTAAGTGGGACTTTTCAGTTTACACCCACTGCAGTTCCTGTCAACATTTCTACTGTATGACCAGTCTAGCAGGTTGAACAACACATCAGATGATTCCCAGGCGCCTTGTCTGGAGGGTTCTGTCCTAAGAAGCATTGCCTATGTGAGTTCTCATTTCACCGTTCCACTATCACAATCTGATCGAACATGTAAAGCTCTGTTCCGACAGAATAAGTTTCTGCTTATGGAACCATGTGGTTGAGTAACAGTCAATACTACTATTTGTGATTAGGCACAATCCCAATCGCTCAACCACATAATTATTGAATCCTAATTTGGACCCAAGGAAACCAAAATTGGTGTGCAGTTTCAACGGGAAGTTCTGGATTCTCATTTAACCATTAGGACAAGAACTAGATTTAATTTAGTAGTTTGTGAATGCAATAAGTGTTAAAACAGTGATTTCAATATTTTAGATTAAATGATTCATTCTAGGGACGATATGTAATGACTAAACAGTAGTGTAGCCATCTGTTTATGGAGTATGAAATGACCAGTGTTGTACATGGAAAAGTATGCAAACAGCATGGATGAAATGATAATGAATACTTCATTAGAGAGGTACTTGATACTTTGTGTAGTAAATTAATGTATTATAAATTGATTCTCAATGGTTCAAATAATGAATACGTACTTTGCTCTCTTATGTTTGCTTCGCTTACAAGGTAGTTTCAATGGATGATATAAAATACTTGTAGTCCTTTTGTCTTCAACTTGATAAGAAAAACTAATATTCTTATCTTACTAAATTGTTTTTAGCATCAAGTCACCAAACATTTGGATAGAAGAATCTTTAACCTTCACTAATAAGACAAAGTTGAGAATAACACCAAACAAGTCATCTCCATCAATGGTCTCTAAATTTTTTAAGGTATTTTTACAAATATATCTTTACCAATAAGTCAAAGTCAAGAAGAATAATAAAGAAACCTACAATAATGGCCTCTAAATCCTTCAAGGTAATATTACTAAAACAAGTTACATTTCATCATAGCTAATAATGTCATGACTAAGCTTTTTTGATTGAGATTCCACTAATAAGTTATTAGAGAATACTTAAGTTGCTGATGTTGCAAATATTTGGCAATGATATATATATTTTTTGTTAATAAAGCTAATCTCATAAGATAGATTTTGGCAACTTACATCTTTTAGACATAGGTTGGATAAGATGTCTTGGCATCAATTAATAATTTTCTTCTTATTAGTCTTCTTATTGTAGGTTAGTCTTTGGTGTTGATATTGACATTATTATTAGCACTATTATTGCAAAATAAATCTTTGCCAATCTTGTTATAAAATGTAAAGTTAAAATTTTGTATATCAACCTTCTTGGCAAAAGATATCAAGACTTAGATGTTAGGTGCTTCAAAAGAGTTGTTGCTATTTGTGGTCATAATAACCTTGTCGATATGCTTCTTCATTATTTATCTCAATTGTTTTATAAATACTCTCTAATTAAAACTTCTTCAATAAATATATATTTTTTTCTTATCTTTCTTTACCCTCTTTACTTCCATCTTACACATCTCAAATTATGCCATCACTATCTTAGGAGTCTTAACCTCTTCAAAACCCTATAATGCATAACTTGTAAAATTAATGAAGATTTGAAGTGGTTTGTCTTGTTATACATTCATTTTCATTTATCCAAAATGTGTTTTACATACATCCACACAAACACAAAGGTCCTTTGCATTTCTTCTAAAAGACTCTTGAATTACATGAGAATCTATTATTAAATCTAATATTAATACTAATCCTTGTAGATGCTAAATATTTCTATTGTCTAGGGCCTTCTATATATATGAACAACATGACAATTTTACTTTCCCTTGTCACAATAGTAAGAACCTTCTTATACTTATTATTTAAAGCTTTTGACATTTTCGACATAATATCTACTTCAATAAACACATTTTATTTATAAATTTAATCTTTTGCAATCTCAATTAATAGCAATATCTATTAAAGATATGTTAAAACATTAGGGTTGTTTTTATTGTTGATAATACTTATGAACTTTGATGGCAACTTTTGTCCATAATCTTGGTAAATATCTTAAATTCCTAAATTTGTATCAATTAATAAAATACAATTAATTTACAAGATTTAATGGCACATCTTCAAAAATATATTTATTTACCAACTTCTACAATATTAGTGCAAAACAAAAGATGTGGTATAGAAGTATGTTAGTGGTAGTTGTAAACTATTCTATAAGATCATAATATATCATTCTTTTCTTGTTCATCTTAAATAACATCTAGTGCTCCAATTTTAAAGACAATAGTAGTTTTCAACATTTGATACATAATGTGATTACATATGTAAATATTTCAGCTTGCAGTTTTACAATAAAATAATAATTTTAGATCAAAATATTTATAAAACAAGTAAAAGAGGAAAATAACAAAAAAAAAAAAAAAAAAAAAAAAAAACCTTAAAAACAAAAATACTTTATTGTTGGAAGAGAATATATTATTCTTATGCATGTAGACTTTATTTAGTTAAATATAGCTCGTCTTCTCATTACTACTATATAAAGGAATAATGATGTAAATATTAATGTCATTGTAAATAACATCAAATACATACTCATTTTTTTATAAATTGAGTTTACTAGGAATATTACTAATTATTGATATGGATCTTATTATTGTTGATATCTTACATCTTCATAAACAATATCATTATTTGGCAATATACATTGGTACAACATTTGGTCCATAATAACATCTCTTTATCCAATTAAGCTACTTTAGGCAAAAGACTTGCTATCTGAAGACAAATATTAAAAAAATTATGTGGGTTTTGGCTAATTCTGGGTTTACAAAGAGATAAATAGGCTTCACCGGCACTCATCATTGGTAACCATTGTAACATGGTTTTTGAACGACCAGAAAATCATTAACTGATACATTAAACTACTAGATTGTGAAATGTCAACAATTAATATAAATAAAGAGTAACATACAAACGACAAACTAAGTTCACCGACAAACAGTTCGGGAGCGTCGAAGCCTCATTCCCGCTCGCTTTGACAGCAGTACGGCGAAGTTCACCGCAATGAGAGCACCACAGCACCGAACGCGTGATGCGGCGACGCATCCAGGTCGATCTATCAGGTTTTGTACCAAATCGTGTGCATCACCATAAAATTTTCCCATACTTCAATGCCCACAATCGAACAATTAAGCGAAGCCACTGCAAGGATATCGCCTTGCCTGATAGAGTATTATACAGAATATTGTTCAGAACAACCTTTCATGAAGAGGTTGAGTGTGACAGAAAACGACAACTTATCACAGAAAAATAATTGGCCTTCCCGGACTGGTGAGTGCCTAAAGGATCGGACAGTGAAATATATCGTCTGTCTCACAAATTCATATTCTAATCTCAGCTTCCGAATTTTCAGACTTCTCATCATCCTATTATTTGCAACCATGGTTGCAATCTGTACAAGACTGTTCGATTGTTGAGTGTCTGCTCGGTTGGAACAAATTTCTGCAGATGCAGAGTTTGATAATGATATTCATTGTTATCATCAGCGAACCTATGTCGGATTGCTTCAGCTATTGAAATTCTGTTCCAGCTATTGGACCCTTCTCCTCAAGAGAAATTCCTGCTGATGCTCAGCATTTGCCTTCAGTCCTCGTTCTTCGGGATTACACCATTCTGTTCAATTGTTAATGTTTTGTCCCTTCATCATCTACTCTGACTGTAATCCTTGAGTTGTTGCTTACCTTTTTGACCGTGTTCGGAGTTGGTACGGGCATAGAGTTCCCAACTCCGTGCCTGATCTTGGCCGAGAAGGTGCAGAAAAAGCTTAGCAGTGCAGTTAACAGTACCGGCAATGTCTTCAGCAGTGTGTCAGACATTTTAGGATAGAAGCATGTG